ACTTGCATGCTGTAGCTTTAAGCGTCTATAGGACAGTGCGCCATGTTTGTTTCGGTGAGATTACTGTGCAGCGTTGCTCATCGATTTCAACACAAAGTAAAATACATGTGAAGATGACTAAACAAAAGTATTTCCCTTCAGAATAAAGTGTACATGACTTGGCAAACCACAATAAAACCACACACAGGCACACATCATTTCAGAGGAAATTACACTGACTCCTCACAATGATGTACACTATGGGGGGATTATTATTCTTTTTTTTTGTCTCCAAATGGGTCACAGGTCACCACAATGTAACTGTGTAATTATGTCACCACAACGCACAGTGAGGGAGTGCGTGTTGCTCATGGTGGATTCAAAGAAAGCCAGTGATGCGCTCATCCAACCGGAGAAAAGGTGCAGCCTGGCCAACAACTTCCAGGACATTTGGACCCTCCATCCCACAGTCACGTCCGTGCGCAACAACAACAACACTATTGTGCAGCAGAGAGGCTGGAATCACACTTACAACCAGCGGACTGCTGCTCCACACAGAGTGAGTTTAATGCCAACTTTGAAGATATATCCAAAAAAACAAGAAATACGCATCTGGTGATACTTTGCTGCGTTGGGATCTTTGAAGAAGTGCAGTCTGTGGAAGCCCGCCGCTCTTCCTGAGGTAACAAGTCCAAGCCTTGTGGTGGAATATTAACTTCCAAGTCGGCTTTAAGAGCATAAATGATCGAGGTTTTCCATTCGTGCCCTCAGAGAGCGGAACAGAGTGGGACGGACTTGGATGTCAGTCAGGAGCTCCCGATGCGGCAGTAGAGACCCTAAGAAATTTCACCAGCAAATAACGCAACATGGGGAAGGTAAATATAGTTTTCTGGAGCATGCACCGACTGCTTCACGTTGTTGAAAAGTTTGGAGGAGTTTTTTTTTTTAATATGCTGCGTAAAAAGTTGCCTGTGTGGACGCGTGGACGCTTGGAGGCGAGTTTGCTGCAGATGTCGGGGACAGACAACAGGGAGATGATGTGTTTTTTTTGTTCTGGTTTAAAAGTTGTAGGTTAGAGAGTCAGAGAGCTGGTTTGTTGTGTGAAGCAGCTCTCGTCGAACCGTTAAATTGACGGTGAGGTGATGCAACAGGCGGTCCCTCCTCTGCGGCACAAGAACGCGTCCAAGGCTGGAGACTGTTTGGAGAAAGTTGGTGCCACATGTACTCACGATCATCTCCTCTGCAGACAGCTCGGGATAGCAGATCTTTTAAAGGGTCGTGAATAGCTTATTTTTATCATCCTCAGAGATATCTAGAAAATAGATGCCCTCTTTTTTTGGCCAGCTTTTGTCCAGGGTGTCTTTGTGTTTACTGCAGTGCATTCACGTAAGAAGCAGTCCCTGTTGTCAAGGAGTCATTTAAATGGGAGTGACATTTGGCAGAACAAGGTCCATTTTTAAAGCTTTTGGTGTCATATGATCCCTACCAGCACATTGACTTTACTCAGTGGACATAAAACAGTAAAAGTTTACATTTTCACATTTTCAGCATCCTAAATGAAGCTGATTTCTGCTTCAAAAGCTGCAAACGAAGTTACCATCACCTCCACTGTAGCAGGATGGAGGCAAGAAATCTCAGGAAAGATGTTGTGTCAAGATAAACAGAGAAATGTAGTTTTTTTTACATGTCTTTTTTGTAGTTTTAATTTTAGGGTTTCAGCAGCAGTATCAAAAAACCCCCACAAATATCCTGTGGGGGGGAAAAAATGTGAAAAAAAAAAAACAACAAAAAAAACAACAGTGAAAATCTGGTAGCAAAGGTGCCTGAAAAATATGTTAAAAACAGTTGAATACAATAACCTTTAAAAATTTAAAAACTCTGAGAATAATGCCAAATATCTGTAAAGTGATTATAGTTATTTTATTTTTTTTTTTAATTTTTATTTATTTATTTTTTAGCAGATTTAATCTTTCACTCACACGATAAAAAAGACCAAATAACTATTTGTAAAAATCTGGATTTTTTAGCATCATCACCAGTTTTAACTTGTTTCATTTTACATGTAGATAATCCTTTTTGGTGTGTGACTTTAGTAGATATTGTCTGTAATTTAAAAACAAAACAAAACAAAAAACCCTACAAAATAAGTGTTTTTTATTCTTATTATACATGTTTTCTCCCCTTTTCAAATTACAGCAAATATCCATAAAGTACCATTATTGTTTGCTGATTAAAATACATTGCATTGGACTTAAAAAATAAAAAAAAAAACTTAAAAAAAAAAACAAAAAACAAAAACAGTTTTGGCCTGTATTTTTCATGTTTAAAATGTAAATTAAAACAAATGTTTCCTGTGATTTTACTAGTTATTAACTACAACATCACAAAGCATAAAAATCTGTAAAATAACCGCAAATTACAGAAGAAATCCTGTGAAAAGTATTAAAGAGTATTTTTGTTTTCACAGTGTAGGAATGTACCAGTTTCATGTTTTTCTGAGTTTCCTGGAGCGACTGTTGCAGACATGATGACTGTTTCAAACGCCATGGAACTGTTTTGTACGAGGTGACATGAGGTCAGAGTTTGCAGCGGCAGACAGAAGCTGGAAGACTGAATGAAAAATAGAGAAAATGCTGGATTTTACTCTGATCTCTACACAAAAAGATTGGATTTACCATGGGTTGGTCATGGGCACACATTTCATTCCATCAAGTGAGGAGTGTTTTCGTTCTAGATCAACTTTTGTCATTCAATATTTTCCCTGCTGAGTCAACGCAAATCCAGCCGTGGTTTACTTTTCTCTCCACTTTTGTGTATTTTACTTTAGGAAATTGCCTCTTCAAACGTGAAAGAAGTACCTTTTTTATGTTATTGTAATTAATTTATAAATTGCTGGACTTTAATAGCTCATCCGTGTTCCAGCAAGGTTTCTGCTCGCAGTTCAAACTTCCTGCACATTCCAGACGTGTCACACATTTCTGTGTTTGATAAGCTGCAGAGAAAAAGACTCGTGTCAGAGGCATTGTTGTGTCTATCAGTAAATGTTAGAGGTTTTCACTTTGCTTCCGGATCGTTTCTATTAGAGGGGAGGAATGCACATATTCTATTACAAGTCCATAACTCCACTTTTTACTTCAGCACACACTTTTCTGGCAGCAAAACGTGCAAATTGTGAGACTGCTGAGGTTTGGGAATGTCTTCTTTGAAGTTTTCATCTTTAAAGAATAAAACTTTTGTGTGTAGACAGTTTGTATGAAGTTAGAACTCGTTCAGGCAACGTCAAGTCTAACTGATGTACTGTAGACATCAGAGCTGCCACTGATAATTATTTTCATCATTAACTAATCTTTTAATTATTCACTTAGATTGCTGCAACTACCAAATAGTCTAGTTAAGATGATACAACAAAATAGTGACAAAAGTCTAAACTGACATCTTCAAATTGCTCGTTTTGCCATTAATAATTAGTGCTAGACAGAAATGAGATAAAAACATATCAGTGAATGGAATTTACTCTTTTTTTTTGACATTTTTAATCATAGCTACTGTAATTTCCTGCTTTAAGGGATGCAAACAAAGTTAGATTCACCTTCAGTGTAGCACGATGGAAGCAGAACTCTTTGGACAAATACTGCATAAAAATAGAAGTGAGGAAAGTGTTGTAATTTTGGGTGAAGTGACCTTTAAACTATAGTGGTCCTCAAATGTATTCATACCTCCCATTAAAGAAGGAAAAAACACAGCTGTCACTGAAATAAGCCGAATTTGACAAAAGTAATAATAAAGAAAAAAATAATGAAAATTGCTTTTGAATTGTGGTTCAACAGAAAAACAAAACAAAACACACAAGCAAATAAGCGTGATGGGAACCATAAACTAATATTTAGTTGAACAACCCTTTGAGCCAATCACTGCAATCAAGTGTTTTCTGTAACTCTCAGTCAGACTTCTGCTCCTGTTGACAGGTGTTTTGATTTTGGCTCATCAGCAAAGTGCGCTAATTTATATGGGACATTTATTTTTTATTATTCTTTTCAACCACAATTCAAAAGCAATGTCTGATTTCACTAACTGATAATTTAGCAAATTTTTATTTATTATTACTTTTGTCAGTTTCTAGTTATTTGAGTGACTATTGTGAATTTTGCCTTTTCTTTAATGGAAGGGGATGAACACATCTGAGGATGACTATAAGTCCTAGCAGCAATATGACTATAACTTGTCACAAGGAGGGATGCATGTTGTGAACTAACTGATGGCAGAACAGGTGGACACAGAAAAGGTTCAGGCAAAAAACAAGTTTAATAAGAGGCAGGGTTCGGTACACAGGTGGTCAATCCAAACAAGGAGAGGCATCCAAAAGCGGCAGGCAAAAGGCAAGAAAGCGAGGTGGTACACAAGGCAGACTGTGACTATGGCTGTGATAACGCTGGGATGAAAACCGTGAAGTGCAACGAACTGGCAACGAGACTGTGAGAGACACAGGGTAGAATACACGAGGTAGTGAGGGGAGATGGGAAACAGGTGAGAGAGAGTCGTCAGGGAGCAGGTGTGACGAGACACGTGTGGGAAGTAAATCTATGACAGAGACAACCGGTTAGTGATTTCAAATTAAAACAGGAAACATAAAATGTGCACACATAAAACAGAAACTTGACAGACATGACAATGCATCAACTTAACTTCTTGTCAGATTAATTGGAACTAAATAATGTTTTACATGCTTGGTTCTTGTGCCCTTGTGCATGCTATTGGATAATTTCTGTAATTATACATCATAAAAGCTTAATTTATAAAACTGCAGAACAACAAAAAAAAAAACTTAAAATGTACCCAATAAGCAGTATGAAGTTGCACTTAAATAAAATACACTTGTATAGCTATTTACTTCAATTCTTAAATAGGTACAAGTGGAATATTAGCATAATGGGTGATAACTGATGGTAACCCGTAAGTACAAACTGTTACGTTGCAGAAACCCGTCATATGTCTCGTAGTTGAAGGAATGCATTGGATGCTTTCCATCAGTTTGCTGATAAGGATCTTATCAGAAGCTTTAAATCCATGAAACTTCTATTTCTGCATAATGATTAACGTGAGGCTGACCAACAGAAAGAATGCACCGTTGACATTTCACAGCAGAACATCAGTCAATCCCCCACAGTGATGGTGAAACTATCGACTACATCTGCAAGTTTTTGTTCAGATGTGACAAAGAGAGCAGAGATCAGACGGAGGATTATGGATTTACTGTCATGTCAGTGTGGTTGTTTAATTAATGTGTCACAAGCAGTGTTTAATAAATATACTTTGCTTCTTTTAGAAAATATGTGGCACCAATTACCCGCTCAGCATCTGCTTCATAGTGGTCAACGAGTTCTGTGAACGCTTCTCCTACTATGGCATGAAAGGTAAGGAAAGGTGATGCTTGGAAGAGAATGATATGGAGAAAATTGTGGATTTCTTTCCACATATGTCCAAAAACAAGAGAAAACAAGAGCACCGTGAATGGCAGCAGTAGGATAACACATCGTATATCTAAATTAGGACAATCTGCTGTCTCTGTAACTGACTCTGGAACACAAAACCAAGTAGAATCAAAGCGGTTGCAGGTAATAAACGTTACATAACAAAGGTTAAGGTTTGGCTAAAAGCAAAGTAGAGCATCATATTTAGTCTATCAGTGTATTTTGTTATATATTTTTGTGTGTGTTTATGTCTTTGCTGTATTTTGCACATTTGAAACATTCATGCTGTGACTTGGACCCTAAGTTAAACTGCATCGTCCTTGTCAACTAAAACATATGTTAGTGTATGTATGTATAGGCAACCTGAAGAGCAGGATTTTCGTATTCACAAGGTAGCTTCAGGGTCTTTGAATCTAACTGTGAAATGTCCTACACACAGAGTTGAACGATGTTCAGCTTGTTAAACTGTTTTGAAGATTATTCTTTCAAAGGGGACCAATACAAGAGAGAGCCTGTACTAGAGAGATAAGGCGTCTTCACATGACCTTATTTACACTCACATGTCTGTCCGTCACATTACTTCAATCAGTTGCACTTAAACGCACCGTGCAGGAGCCCATTTTCCTGCTCAGGAGTTTAAACTTACACTGTTTTATATTTAGGGTCAGCTTTTCTTGTGTCATTATCACTTGATCAATATAGTTTTTATTGACTATAAAATGATGTAAAACAGTCAAAAAAAATGTCCATCAGCTGTGCTTCAAAGTGAAACGGGATATCTTCAGATGTCTGTTTTGTTCAACCAGCAGTCAAAAACTTAAAGATGTTTAAAACAGTAATTTTAAATAAGGAAGAAGTCTGCACTGGCTCAAGATCAATAAAGTTGAAGGAAATGCTAAATCAGGTGCTCTTCTAGGATACCTTTTGAAGTCAGTACAGATGACAAAACAATGACTTTCCCACTTCTTATGACTGGAAGTTCTTAGTATTGGTTGGCAGTCTATACAGTATCTGATTTTAAATATAAAAATCCGGTATTAATACATGGATAAACCAACGTGTAGAGTACACACAGAGTACAAATCAGACTACCTTGGATTCTCTTTGGACTGCGAATCAATACTAAGGACTTTCATTACTAAAAAAAACAGCGTAATCATTATTTTTTCATCTTTGGGGAACAACAGAATCCTCACATCTTAGAAGAAATTACTTAAAAAGTAGTGGATTAGTTGAATAACCATTTCAGCACCAAATCAGTTCATCAGACATGAAGAGCTGAAGGTTCACAAGCACCGCCACAACTTACAATTTACCTTGGATTGATCTGTTGCCCTCGTAAAGTCAGTCTGAGCTGAACGTTTAAGTTTAATTATGAGAGTAGTTCTTACAAATTAGCTGCTTTTTAAAGCTCAACTGTCAAAATCCAGTGAACTTCATCTGCTGAGGAAGACCGTGAGATCTGATCTGAATATCAACTTTCAATAAAGAGGTTTTTGTCTCATCCAGGGAAGCAGGTTCTCTGGTTGTTGAGTTAAGTTGTAATATGTTAATGTCCAACAGGGTTCATGGTAAACATTCTCAGGTGACTCCTATTTGTCTGTAAAGGCTTCTTTAGTGAGAACGCACATGAGTTCAACAACCTTTTAATTTCCTCCTAAGCTGCTTTAAGGTTGGAGAACCTGAAACTCTGTGTAACTAATGGTGGAAACAGTCACGTGGAAATTACACCAACATATTACCAAGAAAAAAGGTAAATCTGATAAATTTGGTGGCTCTGTGCACTTTGGGATTTCCTTAACATACAATAAATGAAACAAAGCTGTCTGGGTTTGAACACAGTTTGGCTCCACAGAGTGCGTTTGTGTTGACAGAGTCACCAACAAGGCAGAGGTTAAGTCTGCCTTCCATTATTTTATCTCTTAATAGCTTTTAATGGCTCCAGTTAGTGTGACTGATTTACCACTTACTGGAAAAAGCTTTATAACAAATGCCTGGTAACGACAACACAATCACGTTCCCGAATTCAAAAATTCAAACAGATTGACTGTAAGCAACTAGCAAAGGATTGAGAGCTGCAAATATTCCCCTTAATCAGTTGGACACTTTGGAATAGGACAGCTTTTGTTTTGATGTATTTTGTTCTTCCTATGTGTCCATCTTCTGAGTGCCTCACAGCTTGTGTTTGTGACCACAGCGCTGCTTACCCTTTATTTCGTCAACTACCTGCACTGGGACAAAGACCTCTCCACCGCTATCTATCATGCCTTCGGCGGCCTCTGCTACTTCACGCCCATCCTGGGAGCTCTCATCGCTGATTCCTGGCTCGGAAAATTCAAGTGAGTGCCTGTTTCTCTCAGCTCCAAATGCACTAAAGGGTTAATTCAACTCATGGGATGTATATAAAAGATGGATGCCATGTCTGAAAAGTGAAGCCATTAAACCAGTAGTTGTTTTAACCGCCAGCAGGGGGCGACTCGTCTGGTTGCGATAATAAGTCCAGCTGTATGGAAGTGAGCCTACTTTCTACTTGATTTGTTACCTCAGTAGATGTTTTCCTAACGAGTTTATGGTTTCAATCAGTAGTTTCAAGTCTCCTTCAATACAGCATGACGCTCATTTCGTAAATTAGTGTCTCAATTAGAGTGAAATAGACGATAAAGCAGAATATATGTTGCTGTGTGGCTACCTTGTGTTTGATAAAGTATAACCATATGGGTGTGGATTGGGTCTTTGAGTTCTCACTCCTTACATATCATTTCAAAAAAAATATTTTCAAACTAGGAGTTGACTTTGTTGATATATGTTTTACACATGGTTTATTAAAATAAAAACATTTCAGCTTTTCTTTCTAAGTAGAGACTGTGTGAGAACTAAAGTAGGATATTTTTAAATGTATTTATTTGATCTGGAATCAATTAAAAATGATGATACCAATTTTAAAAATAATACTGGATATCATTTCCAATAATTGGATGCAATACGCACTGGAATGCTATTCCTAACTTGAGGCTTCAAAATGACACTCCACAGACCAGTGAGTGTCATCATGGTGATTATGTCCATCTATTTTATACAATCTGTGGTCCAGCCACATTGCATAAACACAGTGTCTAGCCATGCAATTTCTTCTGTGCAGAGGTTTTAAGATTATATGTTTCTATACCCCCCGTACAGTGGAAGTGTTTGGAATTTTGCTTGTGCTGCTCAAAGCACTGAAAAAATGCTGCAGTTATCAGATATATCCGTCATCTGTGTGATGCCGGTTTGCAAAACACCATAAAGTATTTCATCCCTTTAACTGGCGAGGTTGGACTAAATCGACCAGACACTGCCTGTTAGTGGACATGAATCACTCACAGAGTGTTACATAATAACAATACCAGTGTTGCTCTGAATGCACATAACCACAGTTTGCTCCCAACAGGACCATCATCTACCTGTCCATTGTTTATGTGATCGGCCATGTGGTGAAGTCGGTGGGAGCCATTCCCACCGTGGGCAGCCGGGACGTGCACATGTAAGTTATCTGGAGACGATTCAGACAGTTTGAGCAAACAAAACAACGGGACAGCATAAATTATAGAGATGTGGACGCTGGTTGAAAAGCGTGACATCTAGCTAAAGTTAGGCAATGATCTTGATTAACTGTTTAGTCCACAAATGGTAACATCAATTAAAAATGCCCATCACAGCCTCCAGAGGCCATTGTGAATAGACTTAAAAAATTCACAACCAAACAAAGCAGAGGAAAGAAAAAAAGGTTCATATTTGAGTGGAACCAGTAACTGCTTCTCATGCTATCTACTATATAGTTCTATCCTGATTGTTCATTTGCATCAGCAGTTTGTTGTATTTTTGTGTCCCAGTGCTCTGTCCATGTTGGGCCTGATCCTCATTGCTTTCGGCACCGGAGGAATCAAACCCTGCGTGGCAGCATTTGGAGGAGACCAGTTTGACGAGGAGCACGTAAGGGCTCCGCTGTTCTTTTTGAAACCTTCTTTTGTACCGTTTGTATTGTTTGCATTGTATGAAGGACACAGAGAGAAAACTAAACTGCGACATGCGTCAGTGAGTCATGCATATGCTGGTAATGGAACATTTTGATTGGGTCATCAAGTAGCAAATGTTGTCAATATTACTCTCAATAAAACAGCTTCCAGGTACCTGTTAGTTTTATAGAGCGTATTTTCAGGTTTTCTGCTATATAAAAAAAAAGTAATGGTATCTATAAAAGCTGCTTAACTTTTGAGCCACATAAAATTCAGTGCAGCATTATAGGAATATGGTACCAAACAAAGCTTTAAATGTTTAAAATCCCTGCAAATCTGTTGTGTCTTTTTATCTTGTAAAGCTTACATTAGCAGACTTACAGGCTGTTGGCAGTTATTCCTCCAATTAGATACCAAAGAGCTCATGTCTTGCACATTTAAGTGCACTATATTTTGATTTTAACATTGAATCTCAAAGGCATTTTAGTGTTTATGGTTCACAGCTCCGGCTTACCAGAGAATTGTAGGATGTTTTCACTTATTGTTTACAGTTAATCTCTACTTTAATCTCATCCTTATCATCAGCCTTTTTTTCCAGCAGCAGCAGGCGGCTGTTTTCCCCAAACAAGCAGTAATAAAGTCGGTGTACACTACCTGCCTGGCACTAAACAGCAGATAAACAAAGTGAAACAGTTGGCAGCTAAAAAGCGGAACATCTTTTTTAGGAGTTGCCTGCTGGAAATATAAACCGGCAATTACTTGCTTGACCGAGCTGTGTGAAAATGGCTTCAAATCAAAATTTTGCATTGTGTCCATTATCGTGTCTTTACCCTGTGATCACAGTTTAACTCCTGATTATTTATGCATCACCTCTAGGTCAAAGAGAGACAGAAATTCTTCTCCATTTTCTACATGTCAATCAATGCTGGAAGCTTCTTGTCGACTATAATTACACCCATACTGAGAAGTGAGTGTTCACAATCGTAATGTTCAACATGTGTTACATACATACCCAGTGCATGCGAATAACATGACTCTGTTCCTGCAGGTGATGTGCAGTGTTTCGGTGGTGACTGCTACGCTCTGGCCTTCGGGGTTCCTGCAGCTTTGATGGTTGTGGCTTTAAGTGAGTTTCCATCCTGCTGTAGCATCATCCAATCATGTGTATCCCTAAAAGCAGTGAAACTGAAAGAGTTCATTCGTCAGAAAACAACATTTTTCCTTCGGGTCATGCTTGTGTCAAGGCTTAAAGGCCGCTGCATCCTCATTTGTGGGCTCCCTCAAGGCTTGATTTTTGGCTTGTGTTCATTACATATGCAACCCTTGGGGTTCATATTTAAGGAAACGCAACATTCCTTTTCACTTTTTTGCAGATGACATGCAAGTCTATCTGCCAGTACAATAGGGTTTTTAGATAATATTTGTGGAGACATTTGACTTGACTTGACTTGGCAACATCAGCCTGTGAGTTTGCACAAACATTCATGGTTCTCAGAGGATGAAGACTTTGCTGATCAGCTGAATTTTCCTCTAGCACCACCATGAAGTCAACGTTTGTGGTTTTCAGTGAAAAGTCTCAACAACTGATAGATGGATTGCTGGGAAATTTGGTGCAGATACTTTTGTCCCACTGAGAATTCCTTGTACCAAGTCTGGTGATCCCCTGATTTTCATCAACATCTGGTTAAAATTGAAGCCGTCTACTTCTTTTGTTTAGAAGGAAATGCATGCAAAACTAAGTCACAGCTGTACTTAGCCTCAACACTCAACTAAGGTGGGGAACATGGTTAACATTATACTGGAGACAATGCCTCAATAAAGCATCACAGAGCAGACAGAATGGCTGGAGACCCTTTGTCTTACATTACATTTTTGGCAATTACTACTCAAATTAGGTAATTTAAGAACCAGGATGATGTCCTGAGGCAGAATATTTGAGGTTTTCTCCAAACAAAACAACACTTGACTGATTTAGTATTGCTCTCCTATAAAACTTTCACACTCACAATGGCATTTAAAAAAAAAAGGATCAAGAGTGATGCAGTAGAATTTATCTGTTTTATCACTCGTCTTCAGTCAAATTTTATTGTACAACGCCAATTCACCCCATAAGTCACCCCAAAGCACTTCACATAGAAAGGTCAAGCCTGTACTATATTATAGAGAGAAACTCAACACATCCAATGATTCCTCTTGAGCAAGCAGTTTGGTGACAGTAGATGGAAAAAAGACAGATTTGTTAGAGCTGGGCTCAGTTGGTGCGACAGTCTGTCTTGACTGGTTGGGGTGAGGGTAAAAGGCAGATTCTTCCTCTCCCAAACTTTACTCACAAGGGGGCAATTTATGTCAGTAGTGACTTATGTAGCTGTTAAAGCCCCAAGGAGAGATAAGGAATGGGCAACAGAAGTCTGGTAGTGTTTCTTTTCAAACTCTTTAGCTCAAACTGATGCTTTCTAACGTGACATTCTCCAAAGCAATTCATCACAATTTACACAACTTCTTCTAGGGTTTTAAAAGACCATATTTTCACATGAACAGTAGGACTCTGTAAGCAGATTTTGTGTAGAATTAGTGCCCTTTAAGGACACTATGATCATATAAGATATAGGAGATATAAGTTGACAGTAAATTTTGACAGTAAAGTTGACAATAAACATTGAACTGTGAACTTCAGTGGAAATTACAACATGTAATGGCCAATGTTTAAAGCAAAAGAGAGAAGACAAAACATTATACAGAAACCTCTGTCACGCATAATGTACATGCTGTCTTTTTTGGATTTAAGTTTCAGTGCTTTTTTAATGAATGCATCACCAAATGCGAATGCTCTAAATTTCCTGCGCATCATTTTGAATGCTCAAACTGACATATTTGGTATGTTTGGGTTTAAAGGTTTGGATGCACAGCATACATTCACAATGCCATTTAGTAAATTTCTATTATCTGCCAAAATATGTAGTAAAAATACTATGGTGGCAATAAACGATCAGCTAATAATACAAACCTAAATCAGTGTCCCAATTAACTGTCACATTCAGGCTGTTCAGGCTGCCATCTGCATGCTGACGAGGTGTTTTTTACAGGCTGGGCTCCCTCATGATCAAGGCCCGTCCACATACATCCTGACAGTCAGTTGTCTCAGCCTCTGAGTCCCTGTCACCCCTGATCCTTATGGGATTCATGCTCGGCTGGCCGCTCCCTGTGAAAACAAACTGATTTAGTACTGGAGAGGCCACAGACAGATCGGGGGTTTTAGTGTTAGAGGCCTGAAGCCTGTTTACAACATGTTAGAATTTATTACCCCGAAGCATTTCAAAAGCCACAGGAGGGGACAGTACATCTTTATAAGATACACGATTGTGAAATAGTGCTGCTTCATGCTGTTCAGGGGAAATATTAAGCTGATGTAAGCATGTTGGCTCTTCTCACGAGTTGTTTGCGACTGCCGTTTCTTACACAAACTTCTTCACTCCTCTGAGTCCGATCTGACTCTACATTCGTCTTGTGCAGTTGTGTTCATTGCTGGCAGCGGTATGTACAAGCGGAATCCTCCCCAAGGAAACATCCTGTTGGAAGTCTGCAATTGCATTGGAGTGAGTCATCTCCCTCTTCTTCTCCTCTGACGTATCTGAGGATTTAAAAAAGTGCAAACACATTGATTCAGTGCTAATAATTGTGAGGAATCATTTCGTGCTGTAATAAACATCTGAATTTGACGCTTTGCTGCTGCCTCTGAGCTGTCCGCTTGCCATTTTTAGGCCAGTTATTTGATTTTTTTAATTTTTTTTTGCAGTTTGCCATCAAAAACCGTGTGTACAGATCAAAATATGAGCCTAAGAGGAAACATTGGTTGGACTGGGCTGAAGAGAAGTACTCGGTAACAACAAAACAACTACCATTAACTCTTTCACTCAGAAATTTGCATCCGTCTTAGAGTCTATCTCGAGGATATCACTTGAGAAAGCATGTTTGTACCTTGATTGCAGCACTAAAATATCCCGTCTGTGTGTTTGTGCCTTAACAGAAGCGTCTCATCCAAGAGATTAAGATGGTTCTTCGAGTTCTGGTGCTCTACATCCCCCTGCCAATGTTCTGGGCTCTGTTTGATCAGCAGGTACAGAAGTTTACACCGTCCCGACTCCAAAATTTGTATAACATGCACTGAAGTTGAATGCATGAAAGTTAGAAGAGGCTCTACAGACGTTGTTGTCAGTCCCTTGTTCCGCTCACTTTAAACTAAGCTGAAATACTTCAATAATTATGAACTAAATTTGGTACAAAAATTCATGTTCCCTGCAGGATGGATCTTAAAGAGCCCATATTATGCACATTTACAGGTTTATCATTGTGTTTTGGGATCTACTAGAACATATTTACATATTTTAGTGTTCAAAAAACCCACAGATTTTTCCGTACTGTACCCTGGTGCATCATCTCTACTCATGTTCTTCCTGACACGCTCTGTTTTAACTGCGGTTTCTTTAAAGGCTCCTTCCAGAAACGTCCAGTCTGCTGTGATTGGTCATCTGGTCCAACCAAACAGGACTTTTGTTATATAACGTAGCTCAAGTCCTTATAGCCTTATATTGTCTGTTTGAGAGGATGCTAAACTCGCCGCTAGCCAGGCGTTATGCAAATATGTTACATGGTGACATAAATAAGTAACAGGAAAAAAAAACGTGACTTGAAACGAGATGATTCTGGCAGATAAGGAGCAGTGTTTTCTGAGGGACAGAACAACTCCCTTTTATGTGGACTCTGGAGTTAAACTTTGCAGACTTTTTATATGCACTAAAATGCTATAACACACTAAGGGGGGACGTAATATGGGCTCTTTAATAACTCTGATTATCCTTTAGCATGTTCATAAAGTCAAAACTCTGGAGGTTGTTGTATGGATTACAACAAATGATGTAGAGCATTTTAATTAGTGAACGTAAGAGGTGCTGGTTTGCTAGTATGACAAAGCAAAGCTAGCTGTGTCCAATGGCCGTTTCCAGTCTTTATAATAAGCTAAGCTGGCATGAAAACATCTGTCCAACAGAAAGCGAATACAATCCTAGATGTTGAATTATTTCTCCAAGAAATGACAAGCAAATACTAGTGTCCCAGAATACTGTAAACAATGTTATAATCACATAAAGAGAATTAAAAATGTTATTGTTATATGTTTAATATCTTGTTTTTTTCACTACACAGTATATTGTGCAGCTTGGACACAGCTAAAGTAGGCTGTAATTTGGAGAAACAGCAATAAGTTTCCACTATTTTTAATTGGACTTCCACTTAAATCCCTGTAGAATTACATATCAGACATTTAATCCAAGTAATATTACAGCAACAGCAGCAGCGGCTTCATTTTACCAAGTACTGAGAAAAAGACATTCCTGAGTTTTAAATCAAGTTTCCTCCTTCAGTACATGAACATACTGAACATGACCAGTCTTCTCAGTCAGATCAAGGTCAAAGTCTTGTGGCAAAGCTTTCTCACAAAATCTTTTAAATATCTGTTATCTTCTCTGGTCAACACTCCTACACAACCATCTGATTATGGAAAACCTCAAAGCCACATTCAACATTCCTGAATTTCATTCCCCCCCGAAGCCATTTTTCATTTAAATCGACTGATTAAATAAAACTGTCAGGAAAAAAAAGCTAAGCAAACAATGCCACAAATTCCTTGGAAAGACTAACAAATGTTTATGGGTTCTTCGTGATTTTCCTCTCGAAGAAAACAAAGAATCTGCTGTAGTAAGACAATCATTTTGGAAAGCAAACAGCGGAGCCGTCACCTTAAATTGGTTTGACGGTAACAGTCTGTGTTTTTCTTTATTGCAGGGTTCCCGCTGGACGCTTCAAGCCACGAGGATGAACCTGGCTTTTGTAAGAATTTTCTTACATGATGCGACGTTGTCAAAAATATCAAAATCTGATAACATATCTGCACTTTGATATCATTACATAAGCTTTGATTTTTATTTGATTGCACAAACTGTCCAGGTTGGATCTGCAATTTGTCATTTTATCCCTGTATGTTCTATTGTTTATGGCTGCGTTAAATCACACACTCGTTAAGTTTGGATTTAAGAAGTTAAAGTTTAAATGACTCTCGTGTTCTCGTGTTGTTTTATTACAGGGAGAGGCCTTCACTATCAAGCCTGACCAGATGCAGGTATGTGCAGCTCATTGTGCTGTTGGTGGGGATTTAGTTTGTACAGTGTAAGCAGTAATGCATGCCAAGATGTCCAGATATAAGAAAATGCTGAATGAGGTGAAATCCACTCTTTCCCTTCTACCCAACTTTTATGACAGTATTTTATAAAGTGCATGATATACGCACTTGGACAAAATTGTTGGTACCCCTCGGCTCATGAAAGAAAAATCTGCAACAGTCACAGAAATAAGTTGAATATGACAAAAGTAAGAATAAATAAAAAATCTATGAAAATTAAGCAATGAAAATCAGACGTTGCTTTTGAACCGTGGTTCAACAGAATTATTTAAAAAAAAATAAAATCATGAAACAGGCCTGGACAAAAATGATGGCACCCCTAGAAAAGACTGAAAGTAATGTGACCATAGGGACATGTTCAATCAAGGTGTGTCCTCCAATTAGCATCACAGGTATCTACAAACTTGTAATCAGTCAGTCGGACTATTTATAGGGTTACAAGTCGTCACTGTGCTGTTTGGTGACATGGTGTGTAGCACACTAAACATGGACCAGAGGAAGCCAAGGAGAGAGTTGTCTCAGGAAATTAGAAAGAAAATTATAGATGTTAAAGGTAAAGGCTATAAGACCATCTCCAAGCAGCTTGATGTGACTACAGTTGCACATGTTATTCAGAAATTTTAGATCCATGGGACTGTAGCCAACCTCCCTGGACGTGGCCACAGGAGGAACATTGATGACAAATGGAAGAGACGGATAATACGAATGGTAACAAAAGAGCCCAGAACAACCTCTGAAGACATTAAAGGTGAACTCCAAGGTCAAAGTACATCAGTGTCAGATCGCACCATCTGTCGTTGTTTGAGCCAAAGTGGACTTCATGGGAGGCGACCAAGGAGGACACCATTGTTGAAAACAAATCATAAAAAGCCAGACTGGAATTTGTCAAACTGCATGTTGACAAGCCACAAAGCTTCTGGGAGAATGTCCTCTGGACAGACGAGATAAAACTGGAACTTTTTGCCAAGGCACATCAGCTCTATGTTCACAGATGCAAAACTGAAGCATATCAAGAAGAGAACACTGTCCCTACTGTGGAACATGGAGGAGGCTCTGTAATGGTCTGGGGCTGCTTTGCTGCATCTGGCTCAGGGTGTCTTGAATCTGTGCAGGGTGCAATGAAATCTCAAGACTATCAAGGTATTCTAGAGAGAAATGTGCTGCCCAGTGTCAGAAAGCTTGGTCTCAGTCGCAGGTCATAGGTCTTGCAACAGGATAATGACCCAAAACACAGCTAAAAACACCCAAGAATGGCTCAGAGGAAAACATTGGACTATTCTGAAGTGGCCTTCTATGAGCCCTGATCTCAATCCTATTGAACATCTGTGGAAGGAGCTGAAACATGGCGTCTGGAGAAGGGGTTGTTTTCATGGAAAAACGTCTAAATATGTAACTTTGATACACAGACATGAGTTCTTTAGAGGTTTAATCAATAACCAACAAATCAATAAACCAACAGTACACCTTTAAACTATAAAATGTTAATGGTTGTCTTGTCTGCAAGAGGAGCATCAGTGTTCTGATGTCAGCAGCTTAAAAATATTCTTCAAAATGAGAGTCCACACTTCTCTATCATAGATTTTAAATCTATTGCACTTGAGTGTAGCACAATAAAATAGTAATAATGGTGTAAATATTGTATTTTTTTTTAACAGAAAACCTGCCATTCAACCTGAATCACAGACTTTTCATTTCTGTATTTTTCACTTCCAATTAAAACACACTTCAGTGCGTCTCAGTTTGAAGACGCCTCGTGTTTGACTCGTCTAAGTGATGCCATCATTCTCATGAAAACCCCTTTATAGCTGTTTATCTCTGCCATCTCGCCATCTCACAAGCAATATTGAATCTGAATTAGTCTTGTTATTCGTGCATAACTGCAACCTTTATGATTTTATGACTGTTACTGAGCTTTTATAGAGTCATTTAGAGGTGTGTTTTTCTCTCTCCCTGTCGTCTAGATGCTCAATGCTATGCTGATTCTTGTCTTTGTGCCCATCTTTGACCTCATCATATATCCGCTCGTTGCTTTTTGCAGAATCAAGATTACGTGAGTAGAAGCCAGTTGTTGTTTTTTTGTTTGTTTGTTTCTTGGCTACTCCCTTCTTTATTGCAGCCATAAGCATGTAGGAAGCATCTTAAACTGGAAAATTGAACCATCACAAATATGTCCCCGGTATACATCTCAGGAGGATAGCCAGTTAATGACTGTGGGAAAATATGCTTTACATTTACAAATGCAAACCTAACGAGTGTGTGTTTAGTGCAAAACTTGTAAATCTTTGTTTGGAATATTTACTAAAGGATTTACTAAGTTGATTTTAGTCGTTATTTCTCAGGAAACAGGAACTATAATGACTTAAAGAAGTGCAAATACGGCATCAGGGGATTTTTTTTTAGAGACTAGCTCAGGTTGTAAAGGAGACTTTTGCAGCAGATGGCATTGCGTCAAAGCGAGGCAGTTCCTTATCAGGCAGGAGATCTGATAATGAAATCATCATTCTGATTTATAAAGTGATAAAGCCTGACTTTCTGAACAGTAAACACGCACTGTACTTACGGTAATGAAAAAAGCATAAAGGTGTTGGCTGTCTGTTCATCACTGACCCTCTGTGTCTTCAGGCCTCTGAGGAAAATGGCCGCAGGAATGATTTTTGCAGCGCTGGCCTTCGGATCAGCCACACTGGTGGAGATCAACGTTGTGGTACGCATGAACGGCAGTGCTGATGTTTCCTCTTGCTGCAGAAAGACACCAAAACCTTTAGTTTTGCACATTTAAAACAACAGAAGTTGACCCAAAAGTGCAACAACACACACACACAGTTAGCTGGAATTCCTTCTTACTTGCACTCCCATCAAGAAAACATGAGAATACCTGAAATAAATAAACTCAGAGTTCGCATTTCTCCAGGAAAACCTGCTCTTCTGTCATTTCCAGTCCTGGGAATTGGCAACATTGACCATAATATCCTCTCAGCTGTACTTACACTTAAATTGTTATATAAACTGTCACAAGGCCCCCAAATGTGTTTTTGCATATGATGTCCTCATAATGTAGCAGCTGGCAGATGAAATTAGACCCGTCTTCAGTATGCAAATTTGAAATCATGCGGGTCGCTTGCAGTTATGTTTACAAGCTTGTGTGCCAGAATGGGAACTCAATAGTATAATCATTTTGGCAATTCTGGACTCCAAACACAATATTACCGTGTTATCTCTTGATATCAGATGCAGTGCCTAGAAATATATACAGTATATTCTTCCAAGCAAATTCGCCCATTTTTTTTCATTCTGCTGAGAAATTATTGTGTCTTCCCTTTTCTACAATGATAAATGTACATTTCCTAGCATCCTTTTTGTATTTTATCGCCATCGTAATGCTTTAAGCTGGTAGCATATACAGTGGATACTTTTCATTATGGGGCAGTAACATCCTTTTCCGTCTACTAGAAAACGGTGGTGGAGCCTGCACCTGCACAGAACAGTCTCCTGCAGGTTGTCAACTTGGCAGGAGGGGATGCCAGTGTGAATGTCCTCAGCAAGAACCTGTTTCCAGAACCGATACCATACCTTCAGGTAACCAGACACAACTTTTTATAGTATTTGCTGTTGATGGAAGGCAGCACAAAATGATCAAATTCATATGTACATACTGGCTTATTGGTGTTCTTTTGCATCATACATACTAGTGAGGAGTTGTAGAGAGTTTGCCAGGTTTTGCCACCCTCTTTGCTTGATCATCCATTAACTCTATCCGCTTTATCCTGTGGAGCATATCGAAGCTGACATTGGTGAGAGGTAAAACCCTGGATAGGTTGCCAGTTAATCACAGTCGTGCATGATCGTATTCACACCTACACCCAATTTAGAATCACCAATTAACCTGCCATCCACGTCAAACCGGCAACGTGCAACACATTCAACAATAACACTGCGCCACCATGACGCCCCTGTCAATTCATATTATTATCTTTAATCTCATTTGATCCACAAATGCCTCACTGAGATTAAAAGTTTGTTTTGCAGGAGTGTGTCCTGGCCAAAACAGCATAAAACATAGAATTTACAAAACATATAAGCAGAAATAAAAATACAATTTGTGAATAATAAACAGACGTTTTACCAATAAGATCAGAAGGATAATGGAAACACGAGCATCCATAAAAAGTAAAAATGATGGTCTGATACAGTTGGCTTGTACTGAATGTGCTGTTTCTGTTTACCAACTCACTGTCTAAGCTTCCTGCCATTGTACACAAACATTTTAGACATTTTTTGCATCCTCAGTTTACTAAATAATACCAGTAAATATGTCTTTGTTCTTAATGTGAGCTGTAAGGATGTGCTTTGATGCACAAATTTTAGACAGAACCTCAACATTACCTGTCTGGTTTCTCTGTATCAGGACTCTCCTACATACGAGACGCTTCCACTGGGGGGCCCCGTCAAGTACACTGAGATTTCAGTCACCTACATGGGAACAAGCTCAGAGTGCAACCAGAGGTTTGAAGAAGAGGAATCCTACAGTCTCATCTTATACCCCGGACCTACTGGAACTCAGTGCAAACTTGTGAGTGCCCATGAAGTTGGTCTTCAGTTGTTTCTGTTGCTGCTGTTTCTGTTTTTATTAAATATTGAAAAAAAAAAAGAAAGAAAGAAAGGAAGAAAGAAAGAAAGAAAACTGAAGGCCAACCCTGCTTGAAACAGTTTGTAAAGAACAAACAAAAACACAAATCCAAAAATTCTTGTTAGATTATTTTTGTGTTAATTTAGGATCATCCACAATAAGATGCTGAATGAGGAAACAGCTCATTTAGGCCAGAAATTTTTACTAGATCGGAAATTTGAAAGAGAAATTAATGTTATTGACAGAAACTTCCTTGACATAGCTGTTTTTTAATCATTCAGGTAGAAGACTTCATAATAAAAAACGAAGACGGGAATCCTTTAGTGAGGTAAAATGTGTTATGGCTCAGCTTTTATACTTTAACTGTAAAACATTTTAAGCTAATGCATCTTTTGCTGCATTAAAATGTAGGTCAACTTTCAGTAACGTGTTAGATTTGCTCTTGAGATCTTTTGGTTTAAATTTTCCAGGTTCCTCAACACACTGCCGGAGGACTTAAACGTGACAGTTGGAAATGTGGTTTTCAACGTGTCCTCCGACTACGATGTGTCTCCTAACCAGACTGTGCCTTATGGAGAGTGAGTTGGCCTGGGGGGATGTGGGCGTCTAAACTAAAAAGTCAAACTGTTAAAGCCACCTTCTGTCTATAGTATGATACCATAAGACATACTGATCAGCCACAACATGTGAAGGTCCCACTTTGGCCACCAGAATGCTCTTACCAGTGGGGTTGTGGACACTGGACCTCTGTGGGTGTCTGGATTTGGGATGTTGGCAGTGTATTCTTTGGGTGTTTTGCAGGGTGGGATATCCATGGACTGGGCTCATACTGATGCATCCTGTGGATACTCGATGGGACTGAATTGTAGGGAGTTTGGAGGTCAGGTTGTGTTCTCTGTTGAGTTCCTCAAGCCGACCCTGAGCAGTTTTTGTGGTGTGTCAGGGTGCAATGTCTGAGAGTCTTGGTCTGCAACAATGTTTAGGTGGATGAAGCTGAGTGGAGCTAATACAGAAGTGCCACAAGCTGCAGTTCCACGATTGGCCACTTGAGGCTTCCTCCAAAGGGAGTCAATCCCCATAGACCCCACTGTTAAAAAAAACCCAACTAATAGACATGTTTGCAGCCTGGTAGGAAAAACACTTCTGGTCTCTTTAACTAATTTCCCCATTCACGACAACCATACAGGGGTGGACCTTTTTTTCATAACTCACCTGTCTAAACTATTTTAATGCTTAAAATTATGCATAATTAGGGTGTGGACTGAAGATGAAGTCGGTCAGCCAATAAAGCATGTAAATAAAAAAAAAATGAAATAAATGCAGATGACTGAAGCCACCACACTGAACTTTAAACTTCTGTTGAGGAACGTATGGGTGACATGACGGAGGGTTTGTCCATCTTTTTATACAATCTATAAGTCAAAGTAACATCCACATGAATGCCAGGACTCAGAGTTTACCGGCAAAACGTTGCGTTGTGATGAGATGTTATTCACCTGGCCTGTCAGTGGTTTTAATGTTGTGGCTGATTGGTGTGAGTCAACAAACAATGTGAGGTTTGAATAAATAGATATATTACTCTATTTTAAATTAGCATTTCTAAATGAAATCTTTGTAAATTATAGGACTGGTAAATGGTCCACAGCTGAGTATCTGGTGATTTACAGTGTGACTTCCCATCAAGTTTTCTATCATAGAACTGAAACAGGAAGTTCTGGTTTCACCTTCAAAATACATTCTTCATGTAAAATGTAGCCTCAATTAAAGACTTCATGTTTGTGTGATATAAAATCTTAAGTATAGGTTGACTCAGCTGGTCAAATCAATTTCGTTTTCCTCTAATTCATCCCATCCTTCATGTGCCTCCTTCCTCTGCCTAGATATAAAGACGCCACCTGCTGCTTAAAGTCAGGCGAGTGCTCTAAACTTGACCTGGGCCTGCTGGACTTCGGAGCTATCTACACCATCATACTCATGGAGGTCAGGATACTTCCTTTAAAATGTACTTTGTAGATCACAGATCTTTCCAGATGTACAACATGGACTCTCTGTGTGCCTTGTCAGGAATCAGGTAAAATCGTGCCTCACAAGATGGAGGATGTGAAAGCCAACAACGTGCACGTCGCCCTTCAGATCCCCCAGTATGCCCTCATGACTGCTGGAGAGGTCATGTTCTCCATCACAGGCCTGGAGTTCTCCTACTCACAGGTTTGTCATGATACACACCATCAGTTAGGCTCTGACTCTGTATTCTCTGTATTCTCTGTATCCTCAAAGCCCCGCTAAAGATCTGTGGACTGAATATCACTCACTACCTGTGAGCATGAAAAAAAAAGTCCTGAGGGTAACAGTAACTGTAGCTGCATTACAACCTTGATATAGACTGAAAGCAGTTTTCTTAGTGACATATGTGGCGTAAAAAGAGAAAAAGTGTTTATAGTGAAACAAAAAAGTATCAAAACGTCAATGGAAATTCATCAAACCATTTTTGCAGCACATTGACTTTTCTGCATAGAGAAGTATGTCTGTACATTCACATTTCTCTCAGTATATAACAGAATATAATGGTGATGGAGGATTTATGTGCATTTACGCCTTTTTGCACGAGTTGCACGTTGACAACAGCTGAGTAGCTCCACGTTGGTGCAACATAACTTTTCAGACCCACCTGTAAATCCTTCAGAGCGTTTCACAGCCAAAACACCAGTTATAAAGGATCCATCCATTGAAGATCACATGAAAATGGTAGTTATAACTGCTGTGAAACTGCTACTTCTGATAAACAGTGTGTATTTATTAGTAACAAGCTTCACAAGTAGGAATAGGATCAGTCCAACCATTTTCACCAGTCCTGCTTTTCTGCCTCTTCTGTTCAGCCTCAACATACAAGAGCTACTGAATATACCACAATTAGAAACAACCATCATCAATGAAATATTATTTTGTATCTTCTCAAAATAATATCAGTTACATACTTCATCTGAAAAATCTATTATTTTAGGAAAGTTAAAGTTCATATGATGTATAAATCTAAAATAAATACTTTTCCTTAATTTTCAATTTACAGTATTTATCTCAAGTGCAATCCATATTAGTACTTAAAAGCCTATTTACTGTCTTTTAATTCTGGTAGCATTTTAATTCAGTAATTTCAAGCACATTAACATTATTTGTATTACACTTACATGTGTTAGAATTTCAGGAATCTGACCAGTCTTGACCTCTTTTTCATTGTTTCCTAAAACAAAAACCCAACACTGATGTCATCCTCAACTGTATTATAGACGTTTATTCTAGATGTATCACAGCCAAACACACGCTGAAGCTCTGTTATGGTGACATTTGTGCTTTTTCCTCCCACTCAATTCAGTCATGTGCACATTATATTTTAATCTTATCACATATGAGTAAACAAACACTTATTTTGACATTTTATCATAAAATTTGATGTTTCTGACATTGACCATTGTCTTATTTTAAGATGAGCAGTGTTTAGAATTGTTGATAGAGCACATTAGGCAATTTGTGACTGTCTCCTTTAAAATGAATCGTGTCTCTGCACATACTCTAAACTAGGATTGAGTTTAAATGAGTTCAACTCCATCTTTTAAACTGCACAGAAACTATGGCATGAAGTCATCAGGAGTAGAATAAAGGGACCTGTTAGACATGACAAAAAAAACAAAGTTCTACCCTTAAGACTGTCTGAAGTCCCGCCCATGACTGTTTCAACAAAAATAGAAAGCTTTCCATCACATTTAGGAAGCAATGATCCCGTTTTAAGGAGCCTTTAAATATTTGAACAAGCCCCAGGCTGCTTGTTGTCTCTTTTGTTGACGACCACTGGATCTCTGTTCCCTTCAGGCTCCAGCCAACATGAAGTCAGTCCTGCAGGCCGGCTGGCTGCTCACCGTCGCTTTTGGGAACGTGATAGTGCTGATTGTGGCAGAAGGAGCAGGACTGGAACAGGTAAGACTTCACGGGACATTTAAATCTCCTATATATGATAAAGAAGAAGGGTGTACACACCACAACAAGAGCCAAAACTGTTCTTAATGTCATGAATACATAGACTGTGTAGCTCTTCTAAACCGTCACTTCCCCTGAATTACAAAAGACACAGTTTCTCACTTCCCTCTAGTGGTGTTCAGCTGTGCAGATAGTTTTCTTTATATTTGCCAAGGTCATCTTCTTCTCCAAGTTTAGCTTCATTTCATGTATTCACAGCAGCCTTTTTCCCTAGATCTATTTACTGTGGACTATTTGGTTACCCCTGTAGTTAAATAAACTTTTTAAAAATGCATGCTTCAGTGCTGTAAGACCCACAAATAAAATCTAAATGACCTCCACTGTATTTGATTGGAAGCAGAAATTTCAAAACCAACATAAAATCCAAACTACCTGCAGTTTAAATGAGAACAATGGGTGAACTTCTCCTGTGTCTTTCCCATAAATTCATTTTTATTACTCTGGCTTAAATAAAACTCATATCTGCAGCTAAAAACCTTTGTCATATAAACATTACATGCATTGTAATCCTGCTACAGTGTGCACTAAACCTCAGCATTAAAGTAACTGAAGCTCTTTTCACCCGCTGCAGTTCATATATACACTAACCTGCGTTTTGTTGCCTCAGTGGAAAGAGTTTGTGCTGTTTGCCGGCCTGCTGCTGGGCGTCTGCGTCATCTTCTCCATCATGACCTGCTTCTACACCTACATCGACCCCGACCAGCTGGACAAGCTTTACCTGGAAGATTCAGGGAAGGAGGTAGACGACGACGACAAGATGAAGAAGCCGAATAATGACGTACCAATGAACAAAACAGGGAAGGGCACCAGACTGTAATTTCTGCCACAGGACATGATGCCGTCGTCTTTTTTTTGGCTGTTTTTTAAGGTATTATTTCTGTGAAAATGAAGCACTAAGGTATGATCGTTGGACATTTCCTGTAGTTTTCTAAGTCCAGTGTTTGTGACATTGTTTAAAGGTGGAGTCTGCGATTCTGGAGAAAGATGGTTGATTTTCAGCTCGTTATTGTGCAGATAGAGAGCCTGCCAGTAGTCTGACATGGGCAGACCATTAAACTACTCAAAATAATAGAAACTATCAGTTATTTATTAACTAAGGAGATCGATAACCAATATTTGAAACAGATATACAGTTGTAGTAACAATTAAAGTCTTAAAATTTAACATAACACAAACTCCAACATAACACTATCTTTACTGAATTCGTTTGCCATTATTGTGCTCCATTATGTTTTCCATATGTTTAATTAACATAAAACGTTTACCTTTATTTGATCTAACAATTGGCCAAACCAACAATCACTTGACCCCTAAATCACTAAACTGTCTTTGGCAGAGCTCAGCCCAGGGTGTAATGATAGTAACTCTGCAAAATACTGAAGGGAGAACTTGTTTTGGTGGAACATTTGCACGTGGTGAGGAGGGCATTGTCATTAATAGCTATCTCTGATCCAAATCTTAGTTAAAACTTGGTATTTTTAGCGTGGAGGTTGCTGCTCGGAGGTTGTTGTTTCCTGCAAACTGAGGGGATTTTGAGAATAGTAGCTATGGACTTGCTTTCCTATCTTCAGTCAAGACTGTTTTTCGGTTTGTGAGCATATTTTTTTTCATTTTACAATCAGGCTTTGTAATGCGTTCCTGCAAAACTTTGTCTTCCCTCCCAAGTTTGAGGTTAACACACCTGCATGGAGGATATTTTCTCTGGTCAGCGTCATACCTGGCATTCTTACTGTTGGGGACTTTTGACAGGGTTGTTTCACACACATTCGAGTGTAACAGCACAAACTTGAGAGCAGAAGTTTTGCAGATGCAGTCTGAATGCAAAGGTGAGCTCAAACTAAAACAGCACAGAGCATCTGTTCAGAAACAGGTAGCAGGAGCACAGGAGATTTGATCTGAGAAGAGGCGTTGTAAGAAAGTGCGCAGGCTTTGATATGAAATCTGAACGTAAAATGAAGATAAAATGCTGTCAGATTAAAGGCCTGTGCCCCCTCCACCCTGTGCACAACAAGCATGAATGTGCTCCCAACACACTGGCGTAGTGTTTTGTGGAGCCACACAAGCCACTTTGTTTCCCATGTACAGAGCCAGGGCTGTATACGAACACCAGATTTTTTTTTTTTTTTATTCAGCTCACACAAAGAACAGACAGCCGGCAGACAATGAGGAGATATTCACTGAATCTGGCGACTAAATGTATTGGATTAGAATCGCTGACTCTACCTTTAATATATTCTGTGAAGCCTGTTTAACACTCCAGTCATTTCAAAGTTTTAACTGTACCAGAAGGAGAGGAATGAATTTTTCTGAATGACACTCAGCACATGAAATAGTGTTTAAGAGAGACAAAATAATTTCTCATGCCATGATCAATAGTGTTATTTTAGTATATTAAAGATTGTATTCTGTATATATTTGTTGCATATTAACTCGATGTTAGAGTGTTGTATTTTTGATGCTGCTTACATGTTAATCATAACCTACATCATCCTTGACAGAACACGTGGGAGCAATGATTCAGTTTACACTGTGCGCCTATAACAATGACATAAAAGCACAATAGCTGGGTTTGATTTTTTACAAAACAAAGCTTGTCGTTGCCAAATATCTGATTTCTTGAACACATTACCAAGGAAAACAGTGCCTGTGTGCATCTTTACTATCATACAGTATAACATGAAGACCAGGGAAGGTTTACTGTGAGGGGCTGACTTTGTTTGGGAAGTCTAAACCTCTATAGAGATAACCAGCTTTGTTCTGTATACTTGATTTTTGCCTTTTTCATAGAAGATATTTTGAAATATCACGGTGAGAAAATGGCACAAGCTGAATTCCAGAAATCTGTATCACATTGAGTTTACTGCACCACGTGAACAGACTACAGTCATTGTTCATGTTAATAGTAACTTGGGCTTTTCCTACTCTGACAAGTCGACGTGTCTGCTGTGAAAAAGGCCCGTTGTATATGTGATTTGTTGTTTTTGTGCTCAAACATGCAAAACCGTGCATATATTTTATGGTTTATATTCAGGGAAAAGTGTAAATGATGCTCCTCCCTGTGAAGTTCTGTAAATAAACTGTTGACTGTGAGGCTGAAACTTGTTTTTTTTTTTTTTCCTAGTAATCATAACTAGGAACATTTTTGTGCCACAATATTTTACATCTAACACCATCTGTGCTCAGATGTGTAAATGTCACCCATGTTTGTGGAAAAACAAATACAAGAAATGAAGCTTAGAAAAGAAATTATTTGTAAAAATATTACATTTATTATAGCCCTGCATGTCGCTGCACACCCTTCCTTTGTCTCCTCCGAGCTGTGTGTCCTGTGGCAGCAAACTGTTCAAACAGTCCCATTTCATTCATTGCTCCTTACGCAGGCTCCATCAATCACAAAACCATTACGATCAGCCCTCTGCGGCTGCTCAATGACAAGTCCCATTACCGAATGACAAAGAAACATTACGTGGAAAACAAATGTTTGCATCCGTGCAATATTATTGTGAATTATTTGGCGTATTAGCATACTAAATTGATTTAAGTGGTCATTTTTCCTACTCTGGGGGAACCAAACAGGATTAGCATGTGCAGGAAAACAAAACAAGGAAATGTTAGAGCCACTCGATGGCGATTATGATTCGTTTTGGGTGTGACTTCTTGCATCCGGGGGGGAAGGTCAGGTGGAATTGACGGATGAGCGAATAATAACTGACAACAGAACACTACCGGTAGCTTAGAGGATGGATTTCTGCAGCCAAAAATGCTTTTTTTATATTTTTTTTTAGCTTCGCTCACATCTCTGAATCACTGCAAACTCCAGTGAGATTTATAATCTTTCTCAGGTGAGTATTAAAGCTAGAGTGGCACAGTGTTCCTGTCACTCCCCATGTGCCTTTCCAATAAAAGCTCGGTGACGCGAGTGATGATATCAGGATGCACCAGGCAGTCTAACAGGTCATTAGTGGTTATTGTTGTGTGTTTGACCTCCTTACAATCCTCTGAAGAGTGCTCTGATGTCCATTCTGCACCGTCACATGGCCTACTTTGACTTAAACCAGAGCTACATTCATGTTTTCCCTCGTGGGGTTTGACAGACGACGCAGATGTGCCTCTCGATGCCGTATGTGAGCTGACGTCTGGATCTTTGGGGGTCGTCCTCAGTTCTTCTTGCTGACAGCATACGGGGATGAGATGAGGTCCAAAGGGAACACTGAATGGTGCAGAATTCCTAACACGGTCTCTGTTTTTCTTGATTTGCCCATTTGAGTCCCGCTTCACTGGGCAGGTGTCCCTCGTGTCCCAGGTCAGCTGCCTTCGAGCACAAGCCCTCACTGCCAAGTTCACATGCTGCATGTTCTCATCATGGGGCGCTTTTCCTTCCTGCAAAAACACACACGGGATGACAGCCGGAGACAGCTACTAAGACCTTAATGGCATTTAACTCCTTTGAGGTTTTAAAAAAGAAACAGGTACACTTCTTTAGAGGGGAATTTCAGTCGCTCTGTCTAAAAAAAACACATGATTTGTTTTCCCGAAAGAATTTCAGGAAACTAGATTAACAAAGGACAAAAAAAACCCCCTATGCATGTTTGCAATGACACTTAGAGCTAATGGTTTAACAAAAAATGGATTCAAAACCAGTTTATTCTGTGTAGGTTGTGAAAATGTATGACTTTGGCAAGCCCGAGTTTCAAGTTATTAAGAAAAAAAAACACGTTGAGACACACAGACCAAAAATTGCCATTAAGCCGAATAAAAGCTTTCGTCAAGTAAATGTTGTACTCGCTGAACCATCAGTATATCATCAGAAAAGACGTGTTTTGCAGCAGCAGTTGATTGCTATAATGTCTGGGGAAATGGCTCTACCTACCACGTAGATGTTATTTCATCAGTTATGGTGTGTACGTGCTCACAAGCTGAGATAATAAATGAAAGAAACCCTTTACAAAGCTCATAGCAACTCATATTGCAGTCTTGCAATGTAACAAATGACTCAATATTCAGATTTGCCCAATTTAAGGATGGACTGTTACATTCACTATAGCACAATAAAGTGCCTGTAACACACTTAGAAAGTACTGTGAGTGGGTTTTAAGTTCAGTGCTTCTCTTCTATTTGTATTTACAGGAAGCATCCCAGGGGCCTTAGGCTCTCTCTGCCATCTGTGTTTCTATACTGCTGCTCTCCACACAGTAAATGATCTCTTGTAGGTGGGATAAATACACTGCGTAAGTGTTAGAAGCTGCCTGGCTGGACCAGCTGATACACAGAAAACAGTGTGGGAGGCAACGTGGTTCGTAAACTATCAGAAGGAAAACCGGAGTCGCATCAGGATCGTAGAGGTCTGGATGGATTCAAGCACAAAAGTTCGTTCAGCTATACTTTACACCAATAATGCTGCACAGTGGGAGACTTCTTGTACTTAACTAAATAACATTCAGAGGCTCAGTCTAAAGAGGAAAGTGTTACTGTAAGAAGCCTTCTGAGTCTCTTGCACTGTCTTCAAAATCGTTCACTTTTCATTATTCTAGTATCTTCCACTATGAGAGGGTGACTGCCATTCTGAAGTGTGACTTATTACACCCTGTATAGCTTGAAATTGGAAAGAAGTGTAAAACTGTCCAAAAGGCACAAGCTAAAGAGCATCAAACTGTAAAGACAAAAAAAAAAAAAGTTAAATAGAAATGCAAAAACCAATATGGCTAAAATCATAAACCAGCAATTAAAAAAAATTTAAAATAAAAATAAATCAGCTTTACAACATTTTAAAAAGGTAGAATTGTTTTAATGCCATGGGATATATGAATATGTTGGTGTTATTTTCATGTCTGTATAATAAATATGAAGCTGCAGCCAGCCGTTAATTAGCTTAGCTTAGCATAAAGACTGAAACCTTGAGCTGTCTGCAAAATTCTGCTAAAAGCACCTCTAAAGTCCATCATTCTTTTTTTGTTTAATCCACGTGGAAATGTAAGTCTAAACATCAAAAGTTGTGGTTTTGCAGGTTCTTATGGGCCAGAATATTTCTGACAGCATAACAGGACAGGCCAGGAAATGGTCAGGAACAAACAACAACTTCAATACCTTTAGTGTGAATGAAAACCTGGTAAGATTTATCCATTCAGATTTATAATTATTGTCCAGATATAGCTCCACTGTAGATAGACAGATGTTAAATCATCACTCAGCTACAGTTTAGACCACTGTTGGATGAAGGGAATGACCAAATCCGTGTTCCAATTTTTCCTTCTGACACACAAAATTGCCAGAGGGTTTTTCTTTGTGAAAAAGTAACAGGAATAGTTAATGTCTTCCTATGAAAAGTGCATTTTTCCTCAAAAAGTACGCTGTCTGTGCTGTGTGTTTGTTTGTTAGCAGGATTATGCAAAAACTAAACAGCTGAACTTCATGGAACTTGGTAAAGAGGTGGAGAATGGACAAAAGTTCTGGAGCTGATACCGATCTCTTTCTTTAAAACTGCTGGAAAGGACATTAAGTTCAGCAAAGGACCCTGCTGTGCAATTCTTTCTTAAGAGTATGATACCTACAGGGTGCCTATACAAGTCAGAAGCACTAGTCAGACGAGAGCTATTGGTTTGACGGATGAATTCATGTCAGACTAATTGTTTTCTACCTCTGTGGGGTTGAGCCAGTTGTCTGTGTTGTCATCACTTGGAGCACTTTTCATTGCAAAGACAATCGTCTTGGTCACAGCTTCGCTGACTCTTGCCACGTCATCCACCTCCTGTGCAGGAACAGAGAGTCAAATGAGCATCACAATAATGAGCACTGAATATCAAGACAGTTACAGTCATTGATAAACACACATCCTCTGGATGTGCTGCAGAGACAGTCTGTTGTGTCTGTGACCTTGCAGGGGAACTGAAGAGAGACCCACCCTTTGAATAAACAGTTTGTCTGGCAGCAGGGAGCTTTTTTTTCATGCGGCACACACTCCTGGTTGTGCACACACACTTATCATAATGACAGGGAATCTGTTACTGCCAGGACTGTTCATTACTCAAAAATGAGAGGGGTCCTAATCTGGGAGCACAGAACACTGTCAGGATCAACATGAGTAGGAGTTCGTCAGGGCAACGACGTGCCACCTCCTACCCTTAAATGTCATATTTTGTTTTGAACATATAGAACATTGTTTCAGGTTCTGAGCCGAAGAGCTTAAGGATGAAAACGAGACATGATAGGTTCGCTTACCAGCTCAATCCAGGAGTTGACACTGACGGTGATGGGATCCACTGACTCCACATAATGCCACCAGTGTCTGGGAACATAAAGCACCTGCACAAAGAAGATAAACTACCCTCAGAAGCTTAAATGGATTAGAGGTTCATTGAAAGCTCCCACTCCCTTCCCTTGTGTCTATCTAAGCCTGTAAAATAAATTGTGAGGGAATGCATAACTGCTCTGAGCATCCACTAGATGGCAGCATAAACCTTCCCTCCCTGCACCGTCGGCGGTTCATCCATTCATAAAGTGACTCTGTTACAAAGACGGAGGCTTATTGATTCCAGCCTCCACAGCAGTCTTGATTCATTCGTGGGCTGTGGTCTGACAACACAAGATGAATGATCTGTCCTCTGATTTGATTTGCAGAGATGGAGTCATCTTGCATGAGATTGCTGTGGATACCAGAACTATCCATTCTGTGTCAACAGCTTAAGCATTTCCAAGTGTTTAGTGAAGTGAGCGCGAAAGCTGACTTGTAGCTGTTAACAGAACGTGAATGCCAGCCGCGGCACTGAGAGGAAGACATCAAGGTCGTTTGTGTGAGAAGCTGTGAAGATTCAAAGAGGATAATGACATCAAATATCCAGGGCCACTCCTGAACTACAGATAGAGGCCATGATTTGCCTTCCACATACAGCTACTTGCTGTTTTGCTTTTTTGAGATGAGCAACAGAATCAATCACAGATGCCGCACAATGCATGCTGGTTTGATTTCTGTATTGATCCTGAATTTCTGTGACGTCACAATGAGAGAGGCAACGATAACATCATGAGATCGAGGCAGCGGCTGCAAGTTTTTGGTGACAAACATCACAGCTGCTCTCCAGTGACTGTATGGCCTCCAATCATAATGAAAAACGGAAGGATTTCACCTGATCTGATTGGTTTAGATGTTGACTCAAGAGCAGGACATTTGAAAGTAGATTATTATCTTGTGAAACAATAATTTTAATTAGTGATTAATCTGTCAATTACATTATTATTTATATGAATATTATATATCATACTGATTAGATGGTTGGTATGTCATGAAAATTGAGAAAATGTCGAAAAATGTCAATTGGTATTTCCCAAAACCTAAGATAAAGTCTTCAATTGACTTCTTTTATCTGCAACTCAAAGACATTGTGTTTACAGTCATAGAGAAGGAAAGAAACCAGAAAATATTTAAATTTAAGATCCTGGAATCAGAGAATTTTGTCTTTTTTTTTCTAAAAAGTTACTCAAAATAATCAATTATCAAAATAGTTGGTGATTAATTTAATAGTTGACAACTAATGAATCAACTGCTGCAGTTCTATTTGAGAGAAAACTTTCATTTTAGTTGAACTGAAGAGATTTTTTCTGTCAAAAGAACAAATATATGCTTCACAGTGAAGTTTATCAGAGGCTGAACCCATTCATACATAAAGAGCTTACAATATCTCACAATTATATATTAAAGTTAAGCTGATTTAATTTAGGCTGCATAGTTGAGTCGCAGCAAGAAGGTCGCCGGTTCGTGTCCCGGTGGGGGCACCGGAATCTTTCTGCGTGGAGTTTGCATGTTCTCCCCGTGCAGCATAGGTTCTCTCCGGGTTCTCTGGCTTCCTCCCACACAGTCCAAAAACATGTTGAGGTTAATTGGTGATTGTAAATTGTCCGTAGGTGTGAATGTGAGTGTGCTTGGTTGTCTGTCTCTAAGTGTAGCCCTGTGATAGACTGGTGACCTGTCCAGGGTGTCCCCTGCCTTCACCCTAAGTCAGCTGAGATAGACTCCAGCCCCCCCCATGATCCTAGTGAGGATTGAACGATTTATAGATAATGGACGGATGATTTAATTTATAAAGGACCAAAACTTCATATAACACTTTCAAAAAAACCAAACAGCATCTGTACAGACGTGATACCGTGATAGTCTAACTATCTGACAGATCAGCAATAAAACCTAATGTCTTGCATAGCTCATAGCTCACCACGCTAAGCAGGCCCCTTCCTGCACTGGGCAATGGAGTCGGAGGCCCCGAGTTTGAATCCCGCTCGGGGCTGATAACACTTTAATTGAATTTCCCTTCTGGGATAAATGAAGTATTTTTCATTCATTTCATTTACTCCTCTGTGCTTGATGATTTATTCACGTTTTTTTTTATTTACATAGTGTGAGAGGGACAAGTCTCCTCAGCTGATTTATATTCAGTAGCAAATTGATGCGATGCTAATTTACATGAGAGTTCATGTAAAACTGAGGTTAAACCACAAACAAGGATCACAGGTCGCATGTAGAACATTTTACCAGGCCACGCTGTCTGAATTAAAACTATTGTAGACTGTGTATAAACTGGTACGAGTAGTTGAAAGCATTTTTATGAATCTGTGTGTATCATCCTGCACAGGCATCACCTTCTATTGCTGCTGTCTGCTCCTGGGGCGAGGCACAGGTCATCCCATCGAGCTTATTGTGTGACTGAAGGGCCAGATTAAGGTCATGTGATAGCACCTGAGCCAACTCCAATTACTAAGAGAAGATTGTGAGATAGCGAGGAAACTTCTTTGTGACCGGATTCATTTCACCACATACAGTCAAGAGCGAAGGCCACTGCTCAAAAATACCCCAAGTCTTTTGACCATTTAGACTAGTCAGGACTTACACCAAAACTTCATCAATAATATTGCAGTAAGGAATGAAAAACTAATTAAAACAAATATAGGGAAAAGGTTAGCAGTGACCCTGACCTATAAATCACTCCACAACTAGCTGGCGGCGTTACTTGACAGCAGGGTTTTGTCTTGCAGATAGGAGGCTGTTTAGTACGCTACAGGAGCTCCAGTATGAGCAGATAGCGAAAGGAGACAGATAGCTAATTGCTTTGTCGCCATTTTGACTCCAGAAAAACAAAAACAATGCAGCTGGAATCGGAAATAAGGTGAAGGTCGAATACACGCGGGAAGACCTGCGCCATGATTGACGATCAAAGGAGGGACATACGTGAAAACCATCATCATAAAAGGCGACTTAAGATTTCACAGCACTTCAGTCGTACCTTTGAGCTCACCTACTTCTAAGGCGGAACAGATGACAGCAGCTTGACTGATTTGTCAGTTGGCCTACTGGCCAGGACGTGACCCAGTTACTTCTCCCCTGACAAGGCATCAAGAGTGATGATGCATCTTATATTATTATAGCTCCTACTTTCGTCAATGGAAAAACCACCGCCTGCTGAAGGTGACACAACGTAACTGAGGAGACCAGGTTTTAATTTGAAGACAAGTCACGACTGTTGCCTGGCTTCACACTTTTATGGAGGACACCACGACAAATAAATCTCAATGTGGAGTCTACTTTTACATGTTCATAGCTTATGGACCAATAAAGTTATATTTTATGGTTATTGCCTCGGTGTCACAAGCAGTTCATCACGTATTACGTAACATTAAACTTTGGTAAATTACTCTTTAGGTTTTCCTTATGTCTGAAAAACAGAGTTGACTTGAACAAATTAAAGAGGTGCCTGTTCAGTGTTGGATATGATACAAGATGCAGAGCTCAAAGTTCAATACAGACAGAATGTCATTGATAAAATTTAACTGAGTAAACTATGAATAAACTTCTTTCAAATGTGCATAAAACGGTTCCCAAATCGGACTGTTTCAGAGGTTTATAGGGTTTATAATCGTCTGCTTTAGGGCTTCAACTCATCATTATGCTTTACTTTTGATAAACTTGCTGATTATTTCTTAATTATTGGATTATTTTCAGTTGAAAAAATGTCAGAAAGTAGTGAAACAGTCCAACATTGTTCTCTAAAGCAGTGGTTCTCAAACTTTTGAGCCACGGCACTAAGATAACAGAAGTGTGTGTTCGTGACCCCCAATTTAAATTTTTAATATATCATGAGACATAACTTTGTTGTTCATGCATTAATGCGTTAAAAAATACTGTTAATTCCACAGATGAATCTCTCTACATTAACACGCTAACTTTCTTTTGAATGAATGAATGAACTAAATTTATTTCGAACAAATGAAAGGAAAAATATAATATAAAAACAAAGGAAAATTATTTTAAAAAGAGCATTAAAAAAAAAAGAGCAAAAAAGAATAATAATATAGCAAAATCAAATCATAAGTTCAAAAAAGAAGTGGGAAGAAGTAGACGCTTTTAATTTTAACAGGCCTAATACAAATTTATTTGATAAATGTAGACTTTATTTATTTCTTTATTTATTTATTTCAATAATCTGGCGACCCCCTGAAATAATCTTGGGACCCCCATGGGGGTCCTGACCCCCAGTTTGAGAACCACTGCTCTAAAGGACAGTGCAATGTTATCAAATATCAATTTTTTTGGATACATCACTCTAAAACATGAGGATTTTTAAATTAACTCACATGTTAAAAAGAAAAGCAGGAACTGCTCACAGTTAAAATACTGGAACATGTAAATATATTCGCTTTGCTGCCTGGAAACTGGATTCAACATTCACAGATTATCAAAACAGAGGCATCTTATTTCCCTGTCATTTGACTATTTTAACTGACTGAAATATTTTAGTGAAGCAAACTGAATCTGTTTCATGAAAATATTTAGTTTCTTATCTACAAACTGAAAACTAAAGAACAAAGTAAGGAATTGATGAGATCGATGCATACACAACGTCTTCAATAGGATCAAGAGCAAATATCTGAATTCTTGTTTGTTAAAATGACATAGTCCTTGTTTAGGTATGAACTTAAACTGAACACCCTGAGGAGATTTATGTCACTGACAAGAACATGTGAGCGCCTCTGTCAGTTCTTCAGTCTCGATTTATCTGCTCACTGATGCATCTTTGTGGTTAGAATAAAACCATGTTTGCCCTTTAGGGGGCATAACTAATCAAATTCAGCCAATAATGTAATCTAGGTGAAGCATTACATTTTATATTAGAAAACATTGTGTGAAGAATGCCGACCTGCCCAGGCTGCAGTGTGACGACGTGGGCTCTGGCAGCCTGAAAGGCCGGAAACCTCCTCAGGTCTGGATGCAGAACATCCACCTGGCTGAAGACACTGGACTCCTCATACGGGACTCTGGTTGGGTAAAGGTTAGCTGTGTCTTCTGGAGGAAAGAGGTGCCAGCGCTTCCTACAGACAAGGAGCAAGACATTTTAATATGACTTCAGACAAAAGGAGCAGGAAAAGACTACTGTTAGAATTGAATTCATTTGTTTGGTCAGACACAATGGTGTGAATTAACGATTTCATAAGCTGTACATTTAGGCAGAGCAGCCTTTTGTTAAAAACTGTTGAAAAGATAAAAAAAAAACAAAAAAAAACCAAAGTTGACAGAGTGTATTAGACAGTAAAAATAAGTGAAACTGTTCAGTTCTTATTGTGATGGATGCCGATATAACCAGAGATACAACATAAAACATGGAAATTATGAAAAGAAGAAGAACTATTGCTATTATAAATTGCTCAAATCAATCTCAGGCATCTTAAGGTGGTTTGAAATAATCTGTGTTAACTGGTCATGTGGCGGCTGCAGTGGACAATCAACAGAACTTACATCTATTTCTTGATTTGATGGTTTGAAAATATTACCAGTCATTTTTAAATCATCAAGTTCCTAATCTTGGTCTGTGAGACGATAAACGCAGACGGGGCCGCGATTGTGATCTGTTCATCTGACCCACCACTGCCACAGATATCAGGGTATCAATCAACACTGTTGTATTTTCATAGATCAGCAGTGTCAAAGGACTGCTTGAGCTCAATTTCATTCCGTCTGAGATCAATAAAGAATAAAAAGAACCTGAGACCCAATTACAAGGAGTGAAGTAAAACTGTTGCTCTCTGGGGGAAGAGCAGAGCGAGATAAGGTAGACCTTTTCCCTTTTATTTCTTGACTCTCGATGCCCCGTACAGCGTCTCGCCCTCTGTCTCCATTTCCCTTCCTCTCGGCTTGAGCTCAGGGAGAGATTACCTCTTTTTCAGAGGGCAGAGGACAGGATTGCGCTCAGTATCAGCAGTTACAGTATCCTGCGTTTTGTGTGTGGAGCTGAATGCTTTAGGCAGGAAACTTTTACAGCCGCCACAGTGGTGCCAAGTGCAGGTGTGGTTGTGAGGAATCCTGAACTTTACTATCAGCTTACAGCTTGTCTAATTAAAGACACTGAAAGACACATGATGAGTGCAATAAGGAACCAACAGTGTGTGTTTCCACCTTGAAACTGCAGTGTACTGATGACAGTCTCTAAAACACAGATTGAGGCGTCTAGAGTTTCATATGTAACAAATCTAAGGTCTCATGTCAGCTTTCTGTATCATTACTCTTCTTTAGAATCAATATCATGTTCGGGCACGTGTGACTAAACGACTGCAATATTACAACTTGTGATTGTGTCGTGCAGAATAGTTTCACAGTGATTTAGTAAAGTTGTAGGTGAGCTGGTTTGCTTGAGTTGCAGCAGGTTATAGAAATGTGATGAGAGAGAGGCAGAGGTTTTATAGATGTGCACATCCAGAGGAAGCAACAGTGTCGACTTACACCTAAGCCATTTTAAGGCTGTAAGGGATTGTTTTTAATGGAAAATAAAATAAATATTCAACTCTGATGCATGGAGACAAGTTTTTCGGGTTTTAATCAATGAATGGAGGTGACTTTTAACTTGTGCTCCATTTAATTAAAGTCTGTGTTGTGACTCGAAGCCAAACTCACAAATCTGTGAAACAGGAAGCTGAAGGGATGTTTTATTTAAAGCTCTGTAAATAGTACCAGAATGGGTGCAAATCATTATCACTTAATGAATAACAAAAAAATAAAAAAACATTATAAGGTGCAGAAAGCTCTGAGGTACACATGTGATCTAATTGAAACTGGTGAGTTATTTCTTATGGAAAGATAAAACATCATAGACATTATTTTAGACTATTTAAAAAAACAAACAAAAAAACAAAAAAACTCTTCTTACAGGCTATTTGTAACCTCAGTGGTATTAACACAAAAATCCAAGCTTGAAAATGTAAAGGCCTGGGGAGAATTGAAAGTATTGAAAACCCTGTAAGAAGTATTGATCAGAGGGACAAATACCAACTTTTCTTAAAATATCAGCATAATATAGTGAGAAAGAAAACAGTGCTTTCTATGGAACAATTTGAATCATCCATGTACATTTTTACGATTACAAAAATCAAATGCTCTTTGCAAAACATATTAATTTCACTTTCTTTTGTCTTCGTGACCTAAATACACGGTCAGACAATCGGTAGGAATCTATCTGCATCTAACCTAATAAGCTAAATATAAACAAGAAAACTTTGTTTGTGTAATGTTTCTGAATTTGGACTCTGGTGCACATAAAGCTGCCAACACCTGCGATAATCCTTCTCACCTTCCTTGCACCTGCAGCACCAGGTTACAGCCGTAAGAGTCAAGGTGACACGGCGTGTTTGCTCCCTCTGTGCCGATCCATAAGGTGCTCTCTCTCCCATTACGTCCCTCAAAACCAAACTCGGACCACTTTACATCCTGCAACACACACACACACACACACAACATTCAATTGACACTTATCAATCCAAAATAATGTCAAAGTATAAATAACAATTTAGGATTTATAAATAACAGTGTTGGTTCTTTTGTCCACAGTAATGACATGACATGGAAACAAGATTCACATTTCCACAACTGTCACAACTCTGCTGTAAGCTCACGGATGTGACTCTACCTCATCAGCTCCTTTGACAGGGCTTATTATAGGTGACCGATGGAGGTTTCTGTGCAGAGAAACCGAGCTACAGTATTTGTCATCTTTCAAGGAAGGCTACCCTGTCAATCATGTACTGTCAGAACACAAAGGTGTAGCGATCTTATCGGCATCCTGAATAATGAAGTCATTACCATACATGCAGGCTGCTGTAAGTGACAGACCAGCCAATCTAGCCTCCAGGCAGCTGTTTTCCCAGCACCATTTATCCTACAAAAAGCTCATGTCTGCCTGTCTCAAAGGCATGAATGTCAGCAGGTAATAATTGCAGGTGGATGTCCAATAAAAATTTATCACGGAGATAAAAATGAAATAAATTTGTGGCAGTGGCTCAAGAAAGGATGCCGCTTTTATGTCTCTACCTACCAGACGGATGAAAATAGCAGCTAATATAAAATCCCGTCGGGCACAAAGCTGAACATTTTAATTGAAAGTGTCAAAACAAGGAGGAAAAAAAATGTAAGATTATAAATGAGACCTGGGAGGGGAATGTTTTGGCTCTTTTAATTTGTATTTTTTTCATTCATTCCTTTTTAATTTGTAAATAATTCAACTTTCTTGCAACTGCATTAGGAGATAATAATGTGTAGGAAATAATTCTAAATTAAACTTTAAGAAGCCAGCCTCTAAACACTCACTGTAAATAAAACTTTGCTGCTTCGAGTGGATGTGATATCAAACATTTGGGTCATGTATAAACCATAAGAAGCCATAAATACCAAGTCCCACCTATGTGACAGAAGCCTAATAATGCAGCAGGATGTTATTGCATTTGGGTAAGTAGAATAATACAGTGAAAACACTAACAAAACAGACATTTGGAATTAATTTGGATTATTATTTGCTTTGATTTGTTCTGCTGGTCTTGTCATATCAACCTCTTTGCGCAATCATATTTTAAAGCTGTGTTTAAAAAAAATAATTCATCCAAGTGTGGCTGTATTGCTAGAAAAACAACGAATCCAAGCTTGCTGTTAAAGGAGACGATCATTTTACATAAAATACATTATGCATTATGTGTCTGGCCACCTGTGTCCACACAATTTTTAGCTCTGCTGCTCTTTGTCATGTCCATTTCACTCCAAGGGTCTGACCTACACAGAGCCTCAATTTCAACTCAATCTAACACCTGGACAAACTGAAACACCAGCTGTGAGTCCGACTTTACTGCAACATCTGCGGCCAACCTCAAACCTCTCATATTGGTTCTGGTAAAAGTGCAATGTCCGGATTTCTGCTTACTTTTTGTTCCTGTTCTGTATCTTTAATATTAAAAACTCAAAAGTAGTCAAAACTTTCTTCATTACAAGCCTCAAATTTCAGTTTCATGAGCTTTTTACTTAACTGCTGATCCTGACAGAAAAACTTCTAACACAAATAATGACCTGATTCCAACTTATTGGAAAGCTGATGTAACTTTTACATCATCAAACTACCTATAAAAGTTTCTCCCAAATGCCTTTTAGTTGCAAGGCCATCCAAACTTCTGAGTTGCTAATTAACACTGAGTTTGCACAACTAGATCTCTCGTTGTTCAAACACAGCTGTCAGATTTAATTTAGACTGTTTGACTAGTTTCATAGAAACCCCCGTGTCTAAACTCATGAAACACTATAAGGTCTTTGTAAAATTAATAAATTGCACAATATATGGAGACAAACTTGGAAACTTATAGGCTGGTTAAAGAAGAACTGACCGGATATCTTCACATGCATGTAGCAGCAGGATGATTACCTCAAACATGAAAGGCTGATCTTGAAACAGCATTGCGATGTATTTGTAGTCAGCATAGGCCCAATATTCTGAGTGGGGGTATTCAGAAAAAGGGCCCACATCTGTTTCAGACTGACCCTGGGTCCAGCTGAGAAACTGAGTCACTTTGGCCTCCACATAGGAACACTGCGTCTCAAACAGAGGAGCTGGACAGTAGAAGAAAATAGCAAAAAACACAGGTAAGAAGGAGGGTAATCACTGGAAAATTGTGATAAAGTTTTACTGCAACAATACAATGGATCTCTGGTTTAAGAAATATAATTTGTAAACCAGAATCACAGCACTATGCATCATCCCAGGTATGGATTCTTCAAACATTTTAACAGAGGAATACATCACAGTTGTAGTGATTTACTGTTTCTTTTGTTTTAGTAAACAAAGTGTGTCAACGGTTGAGTCATGACATTTAAAATCCATGATAAGAAATGCCGTCCTGTCAGCTGTTGCAGCTGGAAAAAGATGATTTAGAAATCCAATTAGCTGGTTTTTATCAGAGGACACGCTCTCTGTCATTCATCAGAGAAAGAGTCATTACTGAAGCTGCTTTACAGCCACATGGAGGGCAAAATACACCAGATGCTCGGAGACTAAAACCCTTCGGTGTGTTTTCTTTCATTCAAGTGACATTATAAATCATATCATTAAACAGCATCCAATACTTCATCAGATTACGCTAATGTATAAATTGTCACATGTCCAAGGATGAAGTACACAAGGCTGCAGGCAATTATTATGTGCTCATTGACAACTGGGTGAAAGGAGATAGCTGTCATATGAGGCTCTGTACACTGAAGTAATAGGAAACACACAAAAATAAATAAATCTGAAAAATCGCATTAGTTTAGCTTTTTAAGAAAAGCATCAGTTATGCTGGAATCTTTAAATGGAAGCCAGAATTTCTTGCATTGCTAAACAGACAAACCATTTTGGGTGAATGTCTTTGAACACAGTGTATAGTTTGTTTAAAGAAAACCACTAATTCCTAAGTTGTGTGTATTTAATAACTCAGTCATTTCAAATAAAACCTTGGTGGGAAACCTGAATTGAATCTTTTTGGGTCACATGAGTGCTTTAATTCTGCATGTTTAATCCAGGTGATTACTTAAAGAAGAATTATATGAACACAACTCTGTCTGGAATAATATTCTGTTCTTACTGTTTGTCTCCTCTTTCCTCCCGAGTCTGAATCGGATAAGTTTGTCAGCGAGGCAGCCAGAAAGATGCTCCGCAGTCCAGCGGAGAACAGGCCAGCCGCAGGTCATGTTCAGGAAGATTGCAGGTTGCTGCAAATGATCCACAATCCTCCGGCTCTCCTCTGGGCTGAACGGTTTAATGGAGGAGATGGCAGCCATAGCCGGGGGGGACACACTGATAGTAGGTGGCAACACAGGATGAAGACACAGATTAGCTGATTAACAACTGGTATCTAAATTGTGCTGTTACATTAGCTGGCATTCACAGAGTTCATGCCGGTGCCTGCTAGCTTAGATGACCTTATCTTCTTTATGATAACACTGAAGACCACTGTGTTGCATTCTAGTGAGGCTGGAAAGAAAACTGTTGTGTTTATGTGCGTCTCTCTGCTGTATTTGTTGCTCGGTCACGTACAACCTTGAAAAACCTACAACTGTGCTATCACTAAAAGTGCAGGGAACCTGAGGACAATGTGGAGAGAGAAGGAAACTAAGCTTCCTTACTTTGAAGCAGGTTTGTACTGCTTATAGCATAAACCTGCAAAATAAACAGACATCTAATGCAGTAAGGAAAGTAATCAACAATGACCTAAAGCGAATATTTATCTACTTGACAGAATGAGCTACCTTATCATTAGTGTCTCTAGAAGTCCGTTTTTAAAAATACTTCAAAACAATTAGGGTAATATAACAGCCTCCACAAAGGAAAAGTAACATTCAACAGCTGATATTTGTTCCTAAGAGCATGAGTGAAGTTGATGCCGATGTTCCAATTAAGCACAGATCTAAGTTTTAAAAGCTGATCTCATAATCTAGGGTGACCGAATGTCCTGTTTTCCCAGGACATATCCTGTTTTCACGCCCTGTCCTGGCCGTCCTTGTTGTTTTTTTATAAAGTGATGAACAAGACTTGGTCCTGTTCTGGAGGACATACTTTAAATGTATTGAAATTATCAGGATTCTTCGAATAAACTTTGAGTACGATTGAACATCCCATTGCTGGGCCGAGTGTCCTGGCTGTCTGAAATCAAAATATGGTCACCCTATCCTAATCAAAAAAAGAAAAAGAATCTCTTTCCTTTTTTTTTTTAAAGAATTAGTTTCCACTTAGATCCACCTGTTTTTGTACTCAAAATTCACATCCTACTTCAATCGGTCTGCATATCATATATAGGGATTTCAACTTGACACAAGATCTAAAACTGACTGTACTTGTGTCCACATGATGTCTTTCACACTTGACAAACATATTATCTAATCTGTATGTAATCTATTTACCTGGAACTCCACACTGATAAGATCCTGACCAGTGTTGGCCTACAGATACTATCAGCTGTAGCATATCAGTACATACAGTGTGTTGGCCGATAAATGGCAAGAAATTGTAGTAAATAAATACCAAAGATATGTTTGCAATACAGAAAAAGTGTCAAAAGTACGGAGTTTATCTCCCAGGGGATAATGACAAGTTTATTGTTGGACTGCAAAACGTTGTGTGTCGTACGCATCCTAGTCAGAATACATGGGATAATTTCAGGGGGCAATGTATGTATTTTCAAAATGTTGGTGGATTATGTTGATCAACATTTGATGCAACAGAGGCCAAGATATCCTGAATTTCCTTTTTTCTTAAGGGCCAACAATACAAGATCGTATACTGCCTATAATCATCAACATAAAAATGCTTCATCATAGGACAAACTTGATAATACAAAGGTCAACTAGTGACATTTAATGATCCTCATGTGGTTGCACGTCACAATGATACTAAACACACAGAATACTTTGTACTATAAAATAGCATTTTTATGTTTAAGACATTTTTGTTGAACTTTCATAAATAATTGAGCAGGCATGAAAAAATGTAGTCCAAAGACAAAAATATTTGTAGTTAGTGACATCCCAATAGAACAGTGCTCTAAACTTTCAATATGGTTCTTCAAATAACTAAAGAAAATATGGATTTAATATGGGTATATTTTTCATTTTCATTTCAGACTTTTATCTTTAATAGTTCATTCAAACATAGTCTCAACTTTTTATGTGTAAATAAATATTTGCTGAGAATCTAAGATTTAACATATGCCATTCTAAATATCAATAGTTTATGATACAAAGTTTAAGGCAAATCACAGGAGCTCTCTGATGATTTAAGGTGGAATAACCCTACACCCTAACCTGTCTTGTCTTATCCTTGGTCGAACTTTCTTTAAAGCACACTTGTTTTACTGGTAGTTCGTTTACAGTCATCTTTATTCTGTAATAGTACTATCTTAGCTTCTCCATTCGTACTTCGCTCGTCACCTTTCATACATATTTCACTTCTGAATACTGTAAATGGTTCCAAATGTGGGTTAGCATTTAGCTGATGTGGGTAACTGGCTTTCCGTGACAAAGTGAGCAACTTGTTTGCGTCGTTTTGTCTAAGGAACTACCAAACAGCTGATAAACAACAGAATGTGCTTCTACTCCCGACACAAAACATCTAAAATTGCCAACTCGTGAGCTCTCAGTGCAGTGTTTGTTTCAGCAAATAAAGAAGCGATCTAGTTCTGTAAACTCTATTCGTGGATATTATCTTAGCTTCCACGCCACTGTCCCCGGAAAGATAACTTCGGCTAGCTTCGGGGAAAGAGGGGGACCAGAACGGGAAAAAAAACAAAGGACTCACCTTACACTACACGTGTAGATGAAGTTCGAACGGAAGTAAACAAAACTCACATGACAGTGAACGAGCTATAATTTACATTTGGAACACCACACTGTGAATCTGCTCCATTTCGGCTCCGTTGGCGCTGCAACAACCGCGCTTAAGCTAATCTACGAGACGAGCCAAGATGGCGACTGACTGACAGCAGTTTCCGCATCCCAACCTATTTCCGTTCGGACATGCGCAGTGAAGACAAATAATAGAAACAGAAGCTGACGGCTGTTTTTGTTTGTGTGGTCGGCAGAAGACACTCGCTAATTCCCGCTTTGTTGAACAACCGCCCAAAACCGGAATTCTAACAGAACCGACGACCGGACTAGCTACTATGGGTGCCGGTTCGAGCACCGAGGCAGAGAGGGAGCCGCTCCTCGCCCCTTCGTACGCGGAGCCAAGCAGTCCGCCAGTAAACAGCAGAGTGTACGCGAGAAGATGGCTGGTTCTGACCCTGTTCTCTCTGCTGGGACTAATGCAGGGGATGGTGTGGAACTTCTGGGGTCCTATCCAGAACTCGGCCGCTCACGCTTACGGCTTCACCAAGTCCGACATCGCGGTGTTGGTGCTGTGGGGCCCGGTGGGTTACGTCCCCTGGCTGCTGTTTATGTGGTTAATGGACAAAAAAGGTGAGTTGGTCCGAGCTGCTGGTACACTGTGTCCTATCGAGCTTTGTGGTGTCTGACCTCTTGTTTTTGACTCCCATCCTTCTACAGCCATGTGACACGCTGGCGTTTTGATATATAGGAAGTTTAGTGCAGCTGCTTGACATGCATTTTACACATTTTAGGGTTATGTGAATGGGTTCAGATTAGCTAGGGATGGCTAGTGTTCTCATTGGGTGGCCTGATTAGAAATGTAAAATACTTTACTAATTGAAAGTATTTTCCACTTTTAAAATACACTTGATAGCAGAAACTGAAAGCTAGTAGTCTGCCATTGTCTGTCACTATTTCATGAACCAGTCAACAATAACATTTAATAATAGGTCAGATTCCCAGTTCTTGTCTTTAAAGATGACAAGTGAACTCTCCAAAGTGATGGCTTGATACAAGTGCGTTCACATTTTCTTTTTAGGCCAGTATTGCTTTGTAACCTAAGATTTGGTGAGGTACTTAGACATGAACGCTAAAAAAGTCTGAAAACAGACAATGAAATGTGAAATTACAATGATATGTAATGGGGAATAGTTCTAAATTCTCATTAAGATGCTAGAAACAGTAACTGTTTGGCATTTTTGCCTGATACGTCACCAAAATGTAACCTGATTATCCAAATTTTCGACAATTAGTGTTATAGTCTTATTAAAGTAACAATTCTTTCGCAGGTTGATGCCACTTTTGCATTCTGAATGAATACAAGTTTGTGGAAAAGGTTTCGTCTTTGTCAAGCGTTGCATGTAGGAAAGTGGAAACCGCATACGGCAAAGTAGCAAGTTTTGAATGACTTTCCAAACTTCGCTCATCCAAGAGGGTTCAGATTCCAAAAAAGCACAGAATGTTTTGTTAAGTGCTTTTGAGTAGTAGCGGCTAAAATGTGAAGAAGCCTCTCGACTTGAGCTGCTGAGTCAGAGAGCACTTCACCTAACCAGTTCCTCTGCATCACCTGACTGACACAAAGTGCTTAATACCAGGGTTCGACTGTCAGATGACAACCACAGCAACAGCGTAGTGACAACATCACATCACAGCAACCAAACTGCTGATGAATTAAAGAACATGTGCAAGATCTTGCCAAGAAATTGCACAACTCGACTTGTGATCCTGAATCATCAGTGATTAGAAGTTCTGAGTGTTTTTCTTGCCGAATTTAATGAAACGTCATCACATCTTATATCCTTGTTTCAGTAAGTGGTGTAAAATTCATACTGACAAGACCATATAAAGTAAAATAAACCATCGATAGATTCCCCTCAGACCTTTTTAATGAATGCTCAACTTTATACCCAGCTTGGAGCAAAGTCTGCGACTGAGTCATATATCAAATTAGGGGGAACTCATTCCGCATTCACAAATTGCATTAAGCAATGGTGTGACCTTGTTGTAAACCCTATAGGACTTCCAGAGGTTGCAACAGGCTTAAACTATGTCTTTGTGTGACGAACACATGCACACAATGGCTCTGCTCCAAAATGTCAGCAAGGGAAAATGCTTGGCCTCCTTCTGAGAGTTTCTCTTCCCCGAAGGTAGAAACTGTAGATGATCAACAACCCAGTGGTTGCCATCCAAGAGAATTATAAAATCGAGTCATATGTGATGCAGTCGCTAAGCAGTAAGCTTGCATAATGTTACGAGTGAATGACATGCATAAAAGTGTATGCTGTTGTTGCAGAATGTGCCACATCGAGCTGATCCAGCCATTTAAGTGTGAGGTTGTAAAGCTTGCAAGTCCTGCTTGCAAGCGGCTGGCTGCCAGGAATTCTCTGAAATATAGGTTACTGGCTTTTTGTGTCAATTAGTACATGCAGCACTGTGTGAAATACATGTTATATGTCATTGTGTTATAATTTACTTCTTGGTAAATGACCTAAGCACATAATCTATGACCAAAATGATTGTCTGCTACCTGTTTAATTAACTACCTGTCAGGCCTGGTTAGATATGCAGAGCAACAACCCTCCTGCACAGTCGCTACAAGAGCAGCTTAGTACAATCAAAGTTTTGTCTGCTGGAGTGTTTTTGTGCTTCAATCAAGCGTAATTGAACACTGGTGAAAAAAGGGAAGGGCAGACGCTACATATGTACTTCCTCACAAAGGTAAACCTACTTAACTGGAATCAGAATGGCAGATGCATGTCTGCTTTCTGACCCTTAGAAGCCTCTGTTGCTGCAGGCGTTTTTAAAGGGGAACACAAACAGCACTTAGAAATCAGCAAACTAGCACTGAGTTTAATGATCGGTAATGTGCAAACTATTTCCTTGATTAATGGTTTTCTCCATAATTAAAAATAAACAAATAAAATAGGAAAAAAAAGAATATCCTTAAGGATCCATTAATTAATTAGCAAAGTATTATCTTATTTTAAAAATGCATATTATAATTTCCCACAGCGTAAGCAAATGTATTCAAATGGCTTCTTTTCTTAAACCTATAGTCACTTTATTCTCATGTGATGAAAATGTTAAATGCTCACTTTAGAGAAGCTTGAACTTTGATATTTATGCTTGACTGAAAATGACTGAAACTATTCATCAAATATCATAAGAATTGTTATTATTTTTAAAATTAATTTAATTAAACATTTTTATTTATTTTAGTTAATCAGCCAAGTGATTGTTTGATTAATTGCCACACTTCTACCTCTAGCTGACTAACCCTTCAACGGCCTCTGTGGCTGTGAAATGTAGCTCTGCTGCCTGTAACAGAGTTATTATTATCATAATTATTATTATTAAAGGCAGTGATTATAGCATAATTTCCAAATCAAATTAACATGATTTTCACAGCTGTAAAGTTAAGGTGTTTTTTTTTTCTTTCTCTCTGTGTTTTTTTAATTTTAGTTTTCAGGGGATTTTAATGTGTTTATTTAATAGTAGTAGTGGAGAAAAACCTGATTCGTGTGAGTAGAGTGAAGGGGAATGACATATAGAAAATTGTCCTCAGCCAGTAATCAAACCGGAGACCCTCTACTCAAAGTATTTGCACCCATGTAATATTTGCCCTAACTGCTTGGCTAACGGGTCATCTCCTTATGTTTTTTTTTTCATGTAATTTATTATTAATTTTTTTATTAAAGATGAGGATCTTGGCAGAAAAGTAATATCTACCAAGTAATTCAGTGATAAGTCGCTGTCGGTACCTGCTCCTCGTCATGGCGTGTCAATATTTGATGCCTCAGAGCTCAGCATAGAGACAAATGACGGACTAAATCCGTGCTCGCTTGACATTTAACGAATGCAGCACACACCACAGAACTGTATTGGCATGTTTGGACTTCCCCGTCTGCAGCCAATAAAGTACGATTCCAACCCAGACCTATTTGACCGGTGTGCCTGCTATAATAATAATCAGCTGTTAGTCAAAGCAGAAAATGATCACTCTCGTGGAAAGAGAAAAACAGGGAAGTGGTGAATTTTTAAATGGGCGTTATGTGGATGAAACTGAGAATGGACACTTCCAAGTTGGTAGAGAAAGACGCTTTGTTCAGATTATTGCTGTCACACAGGCGATATTAAATAAGGAACTTTGGAATTCCTGTTGCGCTTTTCTCATTGGGTGTATCATCGGTCACATCCGCTCAGTTACCAGACGGTTGGGTACACGCAGCCAACAGTAATGCAGTCTGATACAGCAGTCTTGGAATCAGTTTGTCATTAAAGATATAATGATCGGTTGTTGTTGAAGCTGTGTTAGGAGATGTTGAATTAAGTGCATGATCGTTTTGGAGGCTGGAGTGTTTAGAGTTGGTAAAGTGTGTTGTGTTGCATTGACAAATGTTCCTTTGTCGTCCCATTTGAGTCAGTAGGGAGAGGCAAAATAACTAAAATACTTGTCTATATAATGCAATATATTATAGCAGTTCCACAAATGACACCCCACCCCCCAAAAAATGGAGGAAAATTAAGGATTTTTTGCAGTGTGGTGTATTAAACTGCCTTAATTTTAGGCAGATGTAATTGATACATTTACTAAATGTGGGTACATGAGATAATGCTGACATGGTTAGTCGGACGGCAGACACTTAATATTTGGTGGTCATTTGTTTTGATTTATAATGAAGAAAGTACCAAGAGTTTGCTCGTCTCAGGTGCTGAAATGTGGAGGTGTTTCTGTCCTGTTACAGTCAATATAGACTGACTATACATTTACACATAGTAAGACTTCTCCACTTGAGCTTTGGGAAATCGCTATGGAGCCATTCCTGTAAATCAACAGGTTTATTGAGAATGAAAATAGCCATTAGTAGTTCCAATGAAAGACATTTTCTTTGTAACTCAAGGGTGGCCACCTCTGAAGTGTTCTCTCCATTCATGCCATTTCCCATCTGCCATTTTTCCACTTTTTTCTCCACTTCCCTCATCAAATCTTGTGTCTTCCAGGTTTGCGGGCGTCCCTCCTGCTCTCTGCCTTCTTCATGCTGCTCGGATCGGCTCTACGAAGCATCCCGCTGACAGACGAGCCTCTCAGGCGATGGTAAGACTCCTCAGTAAACATTATGGCAGCAGATGGTTCTAGGGGGGCAAGTGTGATGAGGAGCCTCTCATTTCCAATAACAAAAGGAGGCACAGAGTGACTCATGGGCTGCAGTGCACTCACAAGCCCTCAATATTTTCCATAACTTGATTTATTGGGCAAACTTTTCTAACTGACGGCTGCATCCAGTTTAGGACCAGATATGGAAATCCCACAAAGAGGGCTGTTTGCCAAAGCTAGGACCTTTTCTGGTTTGATGAGTTTGCAGTGATGTGTGGTGTAGTTGACAAGATTATCTGAGAAAAAGATTTGTCATTCTGTTTAAAAATTTATCAGCAACTTTTTTGATAAATGGTTTCAGTTATTTTTCAACCAAATATGTCAAACATTCAGGACTCACTGGTTTCAGCTTCACTGAAGAATGTGAACATTTTATGCTTATTTTTGTCATGTATGACAGTTAAGTGAATATTTTTAGGTTTTGGCACTTTTAAAACTGGATGAAATATGGAATAAATATAAATATGTCACCTCATAGTCTAAAAAAGAATGATATGATTTTGTTTTACCATTTTACTAACAATTAATTGATTAACAAACAAATTAATTAATTGGCAGATCAGTTGATATTGAAACTAATTGGTACATGTTTACAGTGGCAATGCTAACATGCATATCTAGACCCATCATGTTAACTATGATCAAAATGTTAGCTTAGCATTCTGATATTCGTTGATGTGCACCAAACACAAAGTAGAGCTGAGGCTGGTTGGAATGTCAATAATTTTGCGGGTAGTGGACAAATTAAATTAAATGGAATGAAAGGATTAAAGTTTAAAGGTGCTCCGAAGTTATGACAGTTCGTCTTTGATGCCGATACAGATATTTAGAGATTAAAAAATTCCTGTATTAAACAGAAAATGATGGCATTGTTCTTTGTTAACTTTCACAATATCATTACCAGCTTACAGTGAAGACATCACTTGACTCTGCACCACTGTACTCTGCTACATGTGCTGCAGACATTGTTGAGAGTATTGTAAAGAAGGGAGTCGGATCGACTCTGCTGGACA